GATTAAAAGCTTATATTATTATGCTTCAATATTTACAATTTACATGGAAATATAATAATGTAATATAATATAATATATTCTATAAATATAAAATATTATATTGTAAATATATTTTATGAATAGGTAGGATTTTTTATATATAAGTTATAGATATCTTCTAATATATTTATTGTATTTTAACTTCTTAATTGTTACGATAAAAAAAAAATTATCTTTATAGTGTTCTTTTCTTATAGGTTGTAGAAATAAATTCATGAAAATATAAATGACTCAATAAAAAATGATTAGAAATTGACTATTGATTTTCAGGTGATACTTGGCGGAGGTCGCCATAAGTTCTTTCTTAATAACACAGATAAGAAAGGATCAAGAAGGGATATGGATCTCGTAGAGTTTTGGAAAAAAGATAAGGCGGAACGTTTTGGAAATGATAAATCAGAATACGTTGAAAACAGGGAACAACTATTAAATGTTGACCCTTCTAAGACCGATTATTTATTGGGTAAGCAGATATTTACATTGCTTGTTTATTGTATTACATATTTATATGAACATAATGTATTAAATATTTCATGCGCGTATAATCCAAAACAAATGGGAAAAAGTATTATATGATATTTTGTCAAGTAATTATTTTTAACCATTTCAATTTTCTTTTTTTTTTCATCTTTTGATGTCTTTCTATTTTTTTTTTTAGATGTGGGGAGAAGGTGAACAATTTTTCTTCAATTTAAGTCCATCAAGTAAAATAAAAATCAATTTCGTAAAAAAATATGTTTTTACACGGCCTTGTGAAGCCTCTTAAAGTTTATAAGTTTTAAAAGTATTAATATTTCTTTATTCAGGTTAGGGCTTTTCGAACAGTGTAGTTAGACATCATAAAAACCAATCATTTATTTTTAAATTCCACATAAATAACCACAGAGATATGATTTTATATTAGTATTTAACCATAATATTTTAATAATACGCACTTTTTACGTTTCAGGCCTTTTTGAGAGCAGGCATATGAAATATCATTTGAAAGCGAATGCTAGTATACAACCAACTTTGGCGGAAATGACTAGAAAAGCCATAGAAATTTTAAAGAAAGAAGAAAATGGTTTTTTCTTGTTTGTCGAGGGGGGTCTCATTGACTCTGCGCATCACGAAACCGTTGCCAGGTTAGCGCTGGACGAGACGGTCGAGTTCTCCAAAGCCGTCCAACAGGCTGTTGACATGACCAGCGAAGACGACACACTGATCGTCGTCACGTCCGATCACTCACATACCATGACAATGGCAGGTTACCCGGTCAGGGGTAACGACATTTTGAGCCTTTCGGGGTCTCGTGGGATCGACGAATTGCCATACACTACACTCAGCTACGCCAATGGTCCGGCAAAGACCAATGATCCACAGCCCAACGTGAATTGCGCGCGTCAGGATTTGTCCAAAGTCGACACAAGTAATTTTTATAAGATAGTTATCGCCAAACTGGCTATTCGGAACGTATTAGTAATAATTGTCATCGCCATATTCGTTATAATGTCATTGTAATTATCGTAATATTGTTTTTGTTTACGAAGCACACTGCTGTCGTCTAATAGAGTCCATGACCATGAATGACAATGAGCCTAAATAATATTACGAAAATATTTTGTCATCTTGCACACAAAAACTGCATGACGACACGGCATCGGTATCGGATCATATAATATGCATGTCCCGTCGACGCACATACATTACATTATGGATAACGCACTAAAACATTTTCAAAATCTATTTTGCAAGGCTAATGGCCTGTTTTTTTTTACAGCAGAAATAAACGATACAATAGAATTTTACTTTTACTTTTGAAAGTATATTCACTATACAACATTAGATACGATTACGCGCATGTTGTACGTTTTTTGCGTTACGATAGGGTCATATTTTTGTCGGTGATCAACATTTTACTTAGGGAAAAATATTCAAACATGCAATATAAATGCTAAGTATAATTATTATTTTTAATGTAAATATAACTCTCCATATAAGTTAATTTGTTTCTTAAATTTGTTATAATGAATTCGCTGTTATTAAATGAAAACTATTTATACAACAATTAGTTTAAAACTTTAAGCACAAAATATTTGAAAACCGTGTTCATAATATCGGTCAATAATAGAACGATTTATAATCGTATTTTTAAGTGTATGGAGTATTCTATTCTAATAAAGATTTTTTGAATACAATTCAAGTCAGTTATGGAAAAATTGATAATATGCATTTGCGTATAATGTTAAATGGCAAGTTTTAAATTACGAGTTTGCTTAACTAGGTATCCTGTTACCTATATATTCTATTTTATAAAATGTACAGCAAAACAAATATTAATTTATAGTATTACAATTTATCACACATTAGCTGTTTTAGATTCTAACCGGAGCGATGAATTTATTGTTTTTCGAAGATGTGTTTTTTTTCTGTGCCTCAAATTTTGAAAGAGTAAAATATCAGTGAAATTTTGAAATTTGAGGGTGGTTGCTTGTTTCTGGTAGACAATTGTATCTAGTTTGTGCTTTTAGTAGGTTAAAAAAAATCCAAAATAATTGAAAAAAGGTGGGTAAGTGGATGTCGCTCTGCTGTACAGTAGGTTACAAGTGGGTCATTGTATAATGGATGGTATTAAATTTGAATTCAATGATATAATATCATTGTATAAGAAAAACGATTCTGAGCGGAGACGGTATGTCCTTTTAGGTATAAGACATATTATATACATATCTATGGTATTAAAAAAAATTGACCTATAATGAATTCCAAATTAATCATATCACAATATCCATTAGGTACTTATAACGCTTTATACACCAACAACAAACCCTAATACTATCATAGATATATATAGTAGATGACTTTAGAAATTTCAAGTACCCACGAATAATATTATACAATCACAACAAAATAACTAAAATCGTAATTCTTGGTTTAAATATGAAATTTTGTCTAAATTTGAAATTAAAATGTCTGTAAAAAATAAGTGTGTTTATATATTTTTTAGATTTTTTGGTTACAGTATGAATTATTTAAGAGAATCTTTGTTTTAAATTTTCAACTCTTAGTTATAAAAACTGAACATTTTATAATTTTTTAATTCCAACGATTGATAATTTTCGAGATTTTGATAAATTTTGTCAAAATTCCAACTTTAAATGCTTATAAAAAAAAAATCGTGCCTATGTATTTTTAATATTTTTCAACTGATATTGTAACAATATATCAGGAGCCTTGTATTAAATTTTTACACTTTTTGGCCCAACAGATAAAACTTTATTGATATTTATAGAAAAAAAAACTAAAAAAAATTGAAAGCTGTAAATGTCCATAAACAGCTCAAAAAGAGTCAAAATATTTTCAAAATTGTATGGTGTATAGGAAATGCTAATATAAACATTCAGTGAAATTTTCATGTATCTACAGTTATTCGTTTTTGAATTACAACAAAATAAGGAAATCGCTACATGAGAAATCTAGTGAAAATCCAATGTTGTAAAAATTTGAATTTCAAACGCTCATAAAAATTTAATTTGACTGTCCGGTAGAGATTTTTTTATTGATAAAGGTAGATAATCTTATAAGGAATCTTGTGTTTCATTTTCAAATCTTAGATTTAAAAAGAAAAATTTTTACGAATTCTTAACTCAAAATAATTTGCTAATTTTCGTGATTTTTCCATATTTTGTCAATTTTTGAACTTTAAATGCTTATAAAAAAAAATTGTGACTAAGGATTTTTAATATTTTTCATCTGCCTTTGAAACAACATATTAGGAGCCTTCTATTAAATTTTCAAGCTTTCGCAACCAACAAATAAAATTTTATTGATATTTCTAGAAAAAAAACTAAAAAAAAATGAAAAATGAAAATGTCCCTGAACAGTTCAAAATAAATCAAAATATTTTGAAAATGTTATCGTGTATAGAAAATGCAAATATAAACAACCAGTGAAAATTTCATGTATCTACGGTCATTTGTTTTAAAGTTACACCAATAACCAAATTCGATTTTTTGGAAAATCGATTTTGTGTAAAAATTCCCGTTTTTCCTTAATTTTTATGTTGTTTTTCCCGGCGCTTGTGAAAACTACTGGAAAATGTTTACTTTTGACCCCCCAAAGTACCAACTAGATTCACTTTCCTATCAGAAAAGGTACTATTGAAGAAAATCGAAGCACTTTTACTGTCCCAAAACGTGATGACAGACACAAAAATATAAAAATATAAAAATATAAAAATATAAAAATATAAAAAAAAACATACATCATTGTAAAACCAATACATTCATCGCTCCGCTCAGAATCTAAAATAATTAGAAAGAAACCTGTTTTTACAGAATCTATTTTGTTTTTTGTTATAACTCAAAAATGAATAATAGACCACTCAGACGTGTTTTTGTACATTTTACGAATTATTATTAAGTTCTAAAATATTAAAACTTCAATTGTTCCTCGTTGACTACGAGGAACATTCGACACCAGCTAGTACCTACTATATGTAGCAGATCGATTTTAACAGAATTTTATTTTTTAAATTTTCTATTTCTATTTTAGTTTTTGGTTTTGACTTACGAATTTATGTTCAACATGTTTAAATTAACATAAAACAGAATGAAACCATTCTATAAATAGTTTTATTGAATCAAATTTATTTTACATTTCGTCACTAATCAGTAATTACTATTCAATACCAATTTTAAATCGTAAGTATTATGGCCATGAACTAAATTTGATTTATTATTATTACGTCTTTAAATCGTGTACAAACGAAATTTAAATAATTTCTTATTAATGAATTACATAATAACACTAATTTAATTTACCTTCAGAGAAACTCACACGAAAAATAATTATTTTAAACAGTATTTTATATTGTAATAGGTAGTTTACTCCATATTTATGTTTTCCGAGGTTATATTCATATATTTACAATTTAATATGATAATAAAAGCAACATTTTTGGATGAAAACAAAGTTGCTCGACAGGTGTTTTTTACAATTCAATAGTTAGTAGGCATAACATACATGTATTTCAAATAATAGTAAGCACTATCATGAAAAATAATAATAAATGATTAATAAGTAATATTAACTGATATTATTACTATACTTATACTGTAGTACCACTTTAATATTTTCAGCGATTACAATGTTTATCGTTGGATTATAGTATCATAAGACAGAAGTATCAGATCTGTAATTGAAAGTAATAATATTTTATGGTTTCTGCAGAGCGGATTAAGAGAGTTTTATAATTTTTATTTATTTAAAATAAAAAGTATCAATCATATTATATTTCAAAATTTATTTTTCGTCATGTAAGATTATTTATACAGAGTGATTTATTTATTCAAGTAATTTAATAAATTCTTTAAGGTATTGTAGAGGTTTGAAAACTGTGTAAATAATTTTTCTTAATTTTTCCGGCAACCTAGTTTGAACGATAATAAATTTAATTTAAATAATTTAAAAATCGACTGGAGAAATTAATATAGCTTGTTTAATATAATATCTGAATCCATTGTTGTATTCATTTTTTATGTTTATTTTCTTAAATTGTATACTGAGTCTTAGATAAAATGATTCGACTAATAACCATAGAAAGTTATTTGAGTTGAGACATCTCAAAGCTATTCATTCTGGGGACTTTTGGAGCGTAAATTTAAACGGATGTATTCAAAAACGACTTTATTATTGTTCATATAGGTACGCTGTTCACTCATTTGTATGTTAATAAAAAGTTGTTCAGGTATTTTGTTCGATGTGTATACTGTATATGATATGTTTCTCTCTGGCATATGTTATATTATAATGTATAACTTTCAATTCATAAGAAAGTTTTCGATGCAAGTTTGTGAATTTTCAACCTGTCTTGCTATAATGTATTATTTTGTATTTATTTATGGCATAATATATTTAGAGTTTTAGCTTATCGTAATGATTTTTAATTTTTAAAAGTTTGTAAGCAGTATAAATTAAAAATAATAAAATTATATAGGTAGACCTATTTTAAAGTTGAATATACAATTAAAAACAGCTGTAAACGTTTGTATACTTATAAATTTATATCTCAGGTTATATATTTTACGTGAGCCAATCATTATTATTGAAAAACTATTAGGTAACGTTTTTGAAAATATTTTTTTACATAATTTTATGTCATTAAATATTAAATATTTTTCTAAAAAAATAGATATTTACTATTTTTTATCGTTATTATTATTTAATTATTTACTTTATTTGATGACAACATTAATTTAAATTTAAAATAGTTTATGGTTTATAACTTTATAAGTACCTATTCAAAGTTTAGATGAGCGGAGTGGAGTGGAACGGAACATGGTTACACCGCCAAATGTTGGGTCACTGTGACACTACTCTGTTAGTCTAACTTTAAAGACTCACACCTAAATAATATAGTAAACTATGTACTTTTCCGAAATTTGATTTTTATATAGGTAACATAATATTATATACTTAGTAATTGTACTGATATAGGTGTTTTCCGCTGTGAATATTTTTTTGTGGGTATGCAAATTTAATTTCAATTTAAAACAAAAATTACATCGATGACTTATACTCAACGACGAGGTACACTTGACACCTAGTACCTACTGTACATCAGAGCGTTTACTTGTTTCCCTCCATTTTTTAATTTTTCATATTAAACAACAAATAATTTATATTGGTTTATGAAATATGACCTTTTATTTATCTAAACTTGTTGAAATTATCAATTTCATTTAGTGTCTGTAATTAGACTAAATCCAATATTTTTCAATAATCTTTTTTATCTTATTTTCTTAGAAGACCGCAATATTGTGAAATAATTTTATAAACTGTTCAAACACAGTATCACTATGATAATATGTACTTAGGTACTTATCAACGGTAATTATAAATATGACAATTAGTTATAAAATATATAATACTACACTAGGTACTACAGTTTCAATAAAATTAGTTCATTGATTAAAATAATATTTCATGTCCCACACGGTGACAGTGAAATTTCAATACTATCCAATGTCATCGATGACGAGTAACAAGAAAATAAAAACTAGTTATATAGGTCGTCATAGGCGCAATTTGAGGGGTGCTTGGGGGTGCTTAGCACTCCCAAATTTTTGATAGCATCATTGAATCTTTATTGACTATAATATTGTTTTTTTATCATTGTTATGCAATTATATGTAAGTAAAATAAAATGTGTAGGCTAATAATATAATAATAATAATATAATAGTTAAAAAAAAAATATATAAAAAAAGTTATAATTATAAAATTAAAAAATTGGTAAAAACTTGAATGATACTTTCTTAATATAATCAAGACGGGTTAATTGGCCACTTTCATATTTTGCCATATTTTGTCTTAGTGAATTTTCTTTTTCACATACCATCATTCGTCTGTTTTTAATTACATGAATACTTCGTTGTTTAATATAAGTTTCTTTTTGTACATTTTTTAAAACATCTATAAATTGAAATATATTCGGGTGTGCTGAGTAAAACATACTGTTAAACTTGGAGTGGAAGGCTTCACAACTATTCGTAGTTCGAATATTATAGAACATGAGTACATTGCCCATACAGAAGGCGGGAAGTCACAATCAGGCTTTATGTATGTATTTAATATATAATCGGAAAATTGCTGTACTTTTTCATTTTCGGGTAAAATGGATACAATATCGTTCATGCAATCGTTCATACAAAACTGGACGCAATTCATGCAGTAGATTAGATAATGCCGGACGCAATTCGTGTACCCGCTTATCAATTTTTTTATTTCGGGACGCAATTCGTGTGTAGCCATAATATTATGCCATAGCCCATGGGTTCAATGCCATTAGTTCATAATAATAATAATAATACATTAATTACCTATGCATAAGAATAATAAGAATAATAACTATAAGAATAATAATTTAGATATAAGCGTATTATGTTATAGGTAATTGTTTATATTAAGATTAATGTGAAGGTGTAAAAATTAGTTGTACGAAAGGAGGGGGGTGTCGGGGGCAGAGCCTTCCACTGACCACTTACCTCGACATAAATCTAGCTACCCCATAAATTTAACACAAATTGCACCTATGTAGGTAGTCATATTATTATCTCTGAATTAAAAATTATAAATTATAGAGTTGAACCAAAATATACAGATGAAATCAAAATTTTAACACAGTCAATTTATTTAGAAATCGATTTGAATTTATTTAAAGGTTTAAATAGCTTCACAGTTCATTAAAACTAAAAACTAAAAATAATACCATTCGACATCAAAAGTCAAGGTTGGAAAAATAACTAATAAAAATGTAATTTCTCACTTCCCAAACTACACTCGGCGATGTGGACTTCGATTTTTTTCAAAAAAATTATATTAACTCCGCAACTATAAATGTGACTGAAGGAAGGGCAAAAACAAAATTCGATTTCAAGTGATATTTTTTTTATAAATGTGTAGGTATAATAATATATATAAACTATAAAGTCTTGTATCCTTCACTTGATTTTTTGAGTTTCAGACTTTTTGTAAAGTCTAAGGAACGATTGCGGTTCCGTTTTACCGAGGCCCTTTTATTGTTTATTCAAAAAATATTGTCAGTAAAATACGTATATAAAATCATTAAGCAATTGACTTAAAAACTCCAAACCCAAATTCATTACATAAAATATCTTGAAAATCCTAAATTAAATTAATTAAAAAAATAGAAAGTCTTTAAAATCAATGGTTTCAAAATTCAAAGATGTAAAGTTCTCACCTTAAAAAGTTGTCTTGAATAAACATTAAAAAAAATGAATTATATTTAAAGGACTTTTTAGTTACGAGTGTAAACACATGAATCGATAGTTTGTGTGCACATTATTTTGGATCATAATAATATCATACCAATCTACAATAAACATTATAGTATTATACATATATAATATTATATTATATACATAATTAGAAGATTCTAAGTACGTGGTAAACATTAATAAATAAGTGATACGGGTTAACATCGGCAAGCCATAAACATTAATCTGGTTTTTCCTCCAAAAATGAGATATTACATTCCTCCCCTAATATAGTTTTCTTCAATTATCAAAAAAATAAATAGCTTCCTCTTATTAATATGAATGTACCTATAATTTTATGGTCAAGGTTTAAAAAAATCGGTCTTTATATTTGTATGTATAGGTTAGTTATTGATTTTTTATAATAACTTAGAACTATAATAATTTCAAATTAAAACCATATAACATACAAACGATCATACTATTTGTTAATTTACTATATATTATAATACAGTCTCTAATAACTCGAATCTAGAGGGTAATAAAAATAAATTCGACTTAAGTATTTGTCGTCGAGTTACCAAGCCTGGTCAGTATTATGAGTGTTTTAATTATTTTATACTTATATATAATAAACGAATACTATAATTTAATAATGTGAGTCATAATTGCATACATATAAATTACTAACTAATTACTAATAATAACTTAATAGGTACCTATTTAAAAATGTATCTATGGTTTTAATATTATTTTTGTCACATCTGCACCGAAAGTTTGGTTTTCGATAGCGGTTGAAGAGTAAAGTGGGAATCCCTAATAGTGTCCGTCGGTAAAGTGGAAATCCCCAAAAGTGCCGGGCGCACATATCGTTATAGGCGTGACAAAAAATAGTATGTGTGGCTCGCGTGGGAAGTCCATTTCAGTCTTGTGCGAAATGCGGGCCTCGCCTACGGCTCGTGTCGCACACGTCGCCCGCTACTGAAATGGCTCACTTCCCGCCCTTGCCACACAATATACTATTTTGAAGAAAGTTGACACGACTTTAGTTTAAAAAAATGTATAGAGGAAAATAGAAAGTACTTATCTTTTTTTTCTCCGGAGGAAAACACTAAACAGTATCTCATTTTGAAGGAAAATACTCTCACTTGCAACGGACGGATCGTTACATTATCAGTTATTGCGCATTTTTTTTTTTTTGTATCAATTTAATATTGTTAAAAGCTACAGACTTTACTGAAAAATCAAAGTCAACATTGATTTTAAATTGAAATTGGTTTTTCAATGCCTGTGGGATTGGAAATCATGACCTGCAGCTCCGACTATATAATATAGGTAATGACGGTAATGTACTAACTAATACATCGTAATTTTCAGGCAAACTGTCGTTCGCGTATCCACATCTGGTGACGATGCCAGACTACGAAACCCACGGGGGTGACGATGTGATGGTGTTCGCCCGCGGTCCTTGGGCCCACCTGTTCTCCGGAAGCTACGAACAGAACCTGATACCGCTGACGATGGGATTCGCGGCCGGCGTCGGACCGGCCGGTCGTGTGGTCGGAGGTCCGGCCGCGTTCACTTCCGCCGGACTTGGCACCGCGGCTGTCTCTTCACCGCTCGCCACTCTCACCGGCGCCCTTCTGACCGTGCTAGTTGTCCGACTCGTTTGTTCGTAGCCCTCACACAGAGCTACAGTCATTCGATTACAATTTTTTTTTTTATAATATTCATCTGTACGATTTTTTTTATATGTAGGACATAATACGAGCGTGTCTTTGCCCGTCACGTCAATTATATATATATATATATATATATGTACACATAAAAAGAACAAAAGGAGTAAATTGTTCAAACATAATATATGTAAATATAGATATATATATATATATAAATATAAAACGACTCGTGTTTGTTTTTTTTCGTTTTTTTTTTTTTACCGGCTGTAAAATTGTTTTGAATGTGAAAACAGTTATCATTAAACGCCTCCTCCGGATTCCACGTTGTGTAGACGGTTTATTAGTTTAGTTTTTATGTTATCCCTAACAGACTCGTTGCTTACGTCCGAAGTTAAAGCGGATATTTATTTAATCTTTGGTCTTGCCCAAATTCTAAGAGTGCGCGATAACCTTACACTCGCTGGGTATAGAATATTATACTATACAATAATAGTATTATTATGTTTGATAATATACATTATGAGATGGTATTTTTTGCCAATTTCAGTACCTATTTGTGATTTTTGACATCAGTAAGTATATTTAGGTGATTCACATGATAGTGTATGCTATCATCATCTAAGGGATTATAAAATCAAAGAAATGGACTAATAATATGTTCATGGTTTGAGTACTACTACACACATACATTACACATAAGGTATATTTATAGTGTACGGAAATACCTGTGACATCGATCGTTTCACAGTCAATAAATAAATATGTATAACAAATACAAACACGAATTCAACATTATTTAATTATTACTATAACATTAGGCAGGAACATCTAGAGACCACAATAATTAATCTCGATTTATTTCTAATATTATGTTATCCCAATCTATTCCCAATCCATTGCATAATTAAATGCTTTCATAGTGTCATTATTCATTTCATTTCCCTCCTGTCAGCAGTTCATAAGTCTAACAGTGATCCACTAGAGTCCGAGTGTGGGAACTGAAAAGTATACTAATGATGAGACCATATTAATTGAGAAATGTAAAATATAAATACCAACCGTATACGTATAATTCTGAGACACATATCGTTCAAACATTTGGTTTAACGTTTTATCGGATACAAATTAAGATTGTACAAGTAAAAACGAGTAGTACTTTTAGTACTCATTACTTACATAGTTACATACTTTCAATACTTTCTATTACACATAATGCACTTTAATACTTTTATAAAATGTTTTCAAAAATAACATTTTTAACCATAAGCATAACCACAATCCTAGTAAAAGTTTTATTTGGACTCAATTTGTAATCGTATGAAGCCCTTCACACACTTCTTCTTGATCCACAATCATATTTTGCTTATTATAATATTATAACTATAGTTTTTACACATTTTATTTTATTATCATTCAATAATTTATAATTTAGTATCTAATTATAAAACCATACAATAATTTATGCTAAATATTATTAAAAACAGGGTAATGTATTGCTCTATTAAAAATTATTATACAAATCTAATATGTTTATTATGTATTATGAATTATTGTATTATCAATGGCGTCGTCGTTTCGTTATTTTTCACTTAAAAATATTATATGCTTTTAAATTTAATTTTTTTATTCATATCAGGAGCTGTTCCACACATATTTCTTATAATTTTTAGTCTCAGAGTCCTCCACAAACTTCCTATTCTTAAATACCATCATTTTAGTCGCGCGGTAGAGCGCATACGACAATAGAGTTCAGTTATCGCTATTAGATAGCAATCTGAGGTAGATAAGACCGGCCATTGCAAATATTGTGACTATGATAAACCTCGTTAAAATGAATAATAAAACATACTGTGTCTAAGTATGAATAAATTGAAGACAAAAAATAATAATAATTATGCGACTGACGGCTGTTTATGCGAACACCGAATACGACGTTGTATAATAAGTAATAGGTATACTATATTGTATGGATATAATATGTGTATGAACTAATAACCATATTATTTTCATTTCACACCTATAACCTTCCCGAGAGCTTAGTGAAGTCGTTTGATAAAAAATATTCCTCCGGAAACCCGTTATCGCCTGCAGTAGTTCAATTTTCTTTTTTAATTATTTTTTAACAATTATATCCTTTTTCGATGGTCGTTCTCCTATCAACCTATATCGGTACTACTCGATCTAAAGCAAAAGCGCGACGCGAAATGTCACAGCGACGGAAATTAGATGCGACGACGTGGATTGGTCCAAGTGGCATAAATGTGTAATACAATATTATATAGGTACGTATTATCTATTTATTTATCACGTTTTGTGTATTATATAGCATTATATTTTGTAAATTACTTTTTTCGATTTCAATCACTGCGATTTCATTGTTGTTCCCTTTCATATTATTATATATAGAATAACGTGTGTTCTTATCAGTTATAACTTGTAGTGCCGTCCCAAAGTTGTAACGAAGGAACTAAATACACGAAATATTGCCAAATTCAATGATTTTTCTCATAAAAATATAAAATATAATATTCTAGAGCTCTATAGTACAAATGCACGCATTATTAATTCATGGGGTAGAAGTAATGCTCAAAAAGTTCCATTAGCCCATCAATAGATACATTATACCTCAATGTATAATGAAAAATGGATTTATTATAGTATAATTCTATTCAACTATTGTATTATTTGTTGTACATTTTTGTTGGTATTTTGTAGATACAAAAACTCTCGTCCAGTTATATTATTATTATTTTTTTACTTATTTAATCCAGTCATCCGTTTTTAAATTTTAAATTTGTAAATTATAAACTCAATGATCGAATGAAACCCGTAGCATTATACATCGAACGGTTCATAACATTTCGATTGGATCCTGTAGTGTTGGATCCTAGGTACCTATGTGTTATTTTCTATCATAAAATTATTGTTTTATGAATGTTTTTCAATTTTATAACTCAGATATTTTAGGATACTATAAAACTATATGAAGCACGGAGTGATCCATTTAACGTAAGACACTAATTATTTCAGAAAAACCAACGTTTTTAAAAATATTTTTTCATATAATTTTAAGTCGCTCAAAACAAAATTTTTGGAAAAAAATGATATTTTTGCTATTTTATAATCGTTATTATTTTCTCTTTTGAATGACAACATTCATTTTTAATTTCATATTCCGAAGCAGAATATTATTTCAATTATTTTGATTTTCAAATTCAAATTTCGGATATGTATTTTATTTGTTACAAGTACATAAAGTTTAGGCGGACCAATATTTTGAGTAAACCCTGTATCACTCACCTCCACTAATCAAAATATTAAAAACGTAAATACTTATGAAACACATAAGTATTATAAGCTACTTGTCCAAAATTCGAATTTTATGTGTCAAATCACTCCATTAACTCTTTGAGGGGCCGTGGTTATTATGCTAACCACTTTTTTTTTACCGTTCAGGTGCGGTGGTTACTATTTTAACCACTTTTAAAATTATTTTTAATATTTTTTTGATGATGGTCAGCATACCAATCACCTTATTATCATCTTATACATGCATCAAACAATATCACTGCCGCTGGTCTGATATCATTTCTCGCGTTTTTCATCATTTATTATCATTATCAATATTTTGATATACGTACTAAATGTTATGGTAAAGAGACATATTGCCCACATGGGTCTTTTTTCTAAAGGAAATTTTCGCCCCTCAAAGAGTTAAATATTTTTCTTTTGAAGAATAGTAAAACAAATATATTTTTAAAAATGTTTATAGTTTTTGAAATAATATGATTGTCTTACTTTAAATGGACCATTCTTTACAGTAATTCAATACAGAAAAATAATATTAGTTGATTTTTAAATGTTTTTCTCGATGTGTGTTTTGTGGAATGTAGGTACTAAGTCGTCAAAATATACACTTAAAAATATCGGGGATTGTATGATATTGTTACGTGGTAGTAACCATTAAGTTGTTGTTCATCTCCGGTAAGGTAAATATTTATATAGCATATTACCATATCAGTGGCAGATTAATAGCAAACGGGGAAATACAGAAGAATTGTTATGTTAATTATATTAGATAACACACTATTAGTTATACCTAGTACAATTTAATGTAAATATTGGAATAAATTATTAATATAATATATTTTACTTTACTAATACAGGGTAGAAATACACGGATCAAGCGATGAAACAACACTGGCACACGTATATTATGTAGCTGGATTATAAAATATACTGTTAGATAATCAAAAATAGTTAAACCTACGAGAAAGGTTAGATTATCTCTCATATGGTGGGACTCCGTGATAAATGATAATACAGAACGTATGAAAGATGATACAGAATAATTTGTGAAACTCCATTACAGGATCATTATATGCTATACACAATTTTAATGACTTTTGTGAATGATGTACAAATTAAAATTCTCACAGTTTAAATACAGTTAGATTTAAAAATAATGTGAGAATATTCTGCATAAAATGTGTCATATAATTTTAAAAATCAATATAAGTTCCAGGTTTTCCCAAAAAAACATTGATAATTCCACTATTATTATTATTGTTATACATTATTATTAATTATTGTGTGAGTACTGCAGTAGAAATTAATTCATGCGGAATCAAAGGGACCAAGTGGTTTAGTCGTATAACCCATAGGTGGTAAAAAAACGATTCACAAAATATGTAAGATGGGACTTAAGTCTTTGTACGTATTAACCGAATCTGTGTGTTAACCGATGACTTACTAAACGATTTCTAGTGTACCTACCTATATTAAGTTATATTTTACGATTGTTTACAAACGTTTATAACATAATAATTACTGGAGTGTCAATCTAGAAGAAAAATAAGTAAACCAAACGCTATATTCTTGATAGTATTACCGTATGACGAGTGAGAATTGCAGACAAACATATAAATATTCAGTACTAGCCGATCTAGTGCACTTTATTGCACGGCAACCAATATTTATGATTATAATATCTTCAAAACCCATGGCAACCATTTATAAACAAAAATTTCCATCTGAAATCTCAAAATCCCTGTTTGAGCACTTCCTAGGGTTGGTTCTCTCCCTTTTTAAATTAGCCTATTTTCTGTCCAGAGGTTTATCTTTATAAATAAAAATATCTGATCCCATGTAGTTCGTTGCCCATTCAAATTGCCAACTCTATATGTTATATGTATAATATTATGTTTTACGTATTACCATGGCAACCATTTATGTACAAAATATCCATCTGAAATCTCAAAATCCCTGTTTGAGCACTTCCTAGGGTTGGTTCTCTCCCTTTTTAAATTAGCCTATTTTCTGTCCAGAGGTTTATCTTTATAAATAAAAATATCTGATCCCATGTAGTTCGTTGCCCATTCAAATTGCCAACTCTATATGTTATATGTATAATATTATGTTTTACGTATTACCATGGCAACCATTTATGTACAAAATATCCATCTGAAATCTCAAAATTTTATATAAATGATTGCCGTGGTAATATGGACACACAGACATACATTACATTCATTTTTATTTATATAGATTTGATTGGTGGTGGTGAAAGTGTGGATTTGACTTAAACACTATTATCTACCTATAATTCTCGACGTTTAAAACGTGATCACCGATACAGATTTGTATGTTTCCCCGCCCATTGCTCTTTACATATTGCAACATAAATGTCAATAAAAATATTTTATTATGCTTTCCCGAATTTGTATGGCAGCGATTAAAAACAAAGTCGATTATTAATATTGTACCTAGGTCTTATCAGTATTACGTGGATCAATAAAGCGATTTAAAATAAAAATTTAACACTTGTGTGCCCAAGCCTACTACTGCAGTATACGTACTTTACCTATTTTTACAATTTTATGAGGATTACATAGTGTAGGCTCGCCGAGATAAAATAGTTTACAAACATAAAACATCTTACTGTCAAGCAGCGGCCGCCGTGTATAAAAGTACGACTATCCAATCGTCAGCGATACATTCCGACGGAAACCGTTCTACCTCCGTTTTCATCTTTGTCTCCATCTCCGGAGTCGTGTGTCGCCGCCCACCATAAACTATATAAGTTTGGCGACACGTCTGTCAACCACCCATCAATCATGTGGACATTCGTCGTGTGTGCTGTTTTGGCTTGTGCTCTTCAACAGGTGTCTGCAGCCACCACCGATCAGGAGTCAGGTACGTTCGTAGTTATTTATTTGATTTTGTTCACCACAAGTTTATAACATATTATATTATATAGCATTTTATAATAATATATATTGCAATAGTTCACTGTTCCTCGTAGGTACCGTGGTTTTCCGCTATAGCCATGATGGTTTTATTTTTTTTCGAGGTTTTGGTCCTTGATAATACAAACTCTAGATGTGTGGTACTTTCTTTTTACAAAACGATTTATATTGGGTATATGAATAATATAATATATTCTTATTTGTTAATTTTTGATAACGTAATACAACATTTTATCCATGTTTTTTTTTTACTGATGCTTAGTTGCTAAAGCTAGGTATTTTTTTTACACTGATACAATACGACTTTGAAACGTAAGTAGAAATACGGTTTAAGAAATTTGGGTTATTATATGAAATATTTACGTTTATTTTAAATTTTGCATTGAAGATATATGTAAATATATACACAGTATTACATACTATGGTGTATTTATTTGTTTGACTAATAAGATAAAAAGTTCTCATAATCCTCTATATATATTTACAACATTTACGAGATTGTACCACGGTTTGAATTATATTGTGTTATTTACGTATATGAATAAATGGATACCTTAACTTTTAATCAAATAGTTCTTCATTATGTTATACTAAATCTCAGGTACATACAATTTCCACATCTCAGAATGATTTTTGCAAACATTAAATACCTAATTCAAAAATGCTCAAACTGCTTGTGATGTATGTAATATATTTATATATCTATTACAAATTACAATACCTAGACAATAGATATATATATAATGAGTATTTGTGTATAATAAACTGTGTATGCTAATAAAGAATAACAAAGAACAAATCGTAAAACTTAAAAATATTAAACGAGAAGAAGAAACTCGTCCAGTAACAGATTAATAATGGACCAAGTTAGGTATCCACTGAAAGTATCACTAATTTTACATAATTTTTAGTGGAACCTATGGATGCTTTTCGGGATGGAAACAAAGTTTTTTAGAGTTTGGCTGTTTCCGTAATAGTTTCATTTGACGCAGAAACATGTTTAGACCAAATGTTGTAGATAGTAGATTGGTGGAAATTAATTTAAATTTTCTATTGGTTATTTTGACTGGACCCGTAATTCGACATTAGAAGATTGACATGAGAAGGGGTGTATATTGTATACCTAACTATATTAAACGATGATCGATTTTAAATGGATGTTAAACTAATTTATTAAAATATTATAAATTTAAAGTATTACATAATATTATATTTTTCTTTCTAATACTTATAAAAAGTTATAATTTATAAAAAAATATTATATTATGAATAGGGATTTTCGAGTATGTATAAGAAGTATAAGAAAGCAGTTAAACATTTTATTTTTAATCACGATGCCAATAAATTATGCATTTGTTAAAACAAGTAAAATTACACTTCATTAAAATATATTTTGTTAACATGTTTTTTCTCGTAAGAAAAATACACAAAATTATAATTAATAGCTGACCTTATACACTTGTTATATTGTTACATGTCATTACGACAGGCGTTTGCTTATTGTTTTAAATTTAATTTTCCCATAAATAATTTGAAAATTATTTACGACGCTGGCAACATGTAATAATATATGTAATTGTACATACCAATATTATAAGGTATTGCAATTAGTTCTTTAAAATAACAACGGTTTTGAAGCATAACAATTATGAAATTATAATACAAAAATGTTATATTTCAATAATACGAATCATGAACAAGTACAATATTTATCTAGTATTATATTTGCTAAAGACACATTTGAATATAAAAACGTCTAGAATAACCGATATTTGGGATCTGTGAATTCAGAAGTAGACTTTTCGCAATGTTTTATGAAAAAGTGTGCATGATTTTTCTTCTAACACTATTGTTCATAGGTAATATTATAAGTACTGCAGTAATTATAAACATAAATCGTGCATGTCATTTGTTTTCAACGACTGTCTATTTTAAAAATACATATTATTCAAATGAGAACTATAGTCTAATGAGTCTCATAATAATCCGTGTTTCGGTATTGAGGAATTGGAAAATTTACCATAAACGCAATATTATATGTCAGAATCATTTACTAAAATATGTAGTTAATGTTTAAACATTTTAGATAGGCCATTATAGGAATCCATTCAAGTATACTGAATACAACCAATTATACAGTATTATAAATGAGTGTATAAATACTTCCGAAACATAATGTATCTGTTTATTTAGTTTAATCAGAGTTTAATACGTAAATACAATAAAAACTGTGTGTACATATTAGTTACAACTAAAGTATTGTCATCAATAACTAATAAGATCAATGATCAATAAATGATTTATCTATATCTTTTTACGAATACATGGAGTATATGATTGATTTAAATTTTTATAAATGTATAGTATAATATAATATAGTATACATAATTAGGACCCGTATTTAAATTCCCTAATAACTATCAAATTTAACAAATAATGCCCTAAAAATGCCTTTAAAAAATAACCTACATTTTTTTATTGACAAAGAAGTACACGACTGCCGAAACGATAGAAAAACGAAGGTTCAGTTTTTTGAATTTTCAAAACATTTTTATATTATTAAATCCAACAATAATTCAAAATACTAAAATTAGGCACCCATATAAATAAACAGTACTTATCCTGGAAATAAATGCGATCACGGTATATCTAGAACTGAACTATTAGTTATTTTTTATTTTAGTCTCACTAACTTGTAACACTTCACCACATACGATTGGTAACCGCTGGATATAGAAAAATACGTAATTTCAATATTGCATTAATATTATTTTACCTAAATGTAATAGGTTAACTATTAAAGCAAATATTATAATACTTTAAGACTCTAAATTTTCACTTAAAGCTCGTGCAATAAATTATTACATTTTATTTCCCTAAAAATGAAAACCTTGAAAAATGGAAAATAAAAGTTTCCCCTTTGAAGTATCTGTTACATGAGAGTATGAGACAAATTATGCACTTGGAATGCATGGTCCTAGGATCTAACACATAGAAAAAGTAATGCACTTTGCAATTGGAATCCTGGTTCTTTACATAACGTAGGCACCGACTTGTATTCCTATAGTTTACGATGTTTATTTAATTTTTAGTACGTAAGTAGGTGCTTGTTTTTCGATGTTCTTGAATTTTCATACTGTGTACCTCATATTGTGATTTGTAATTAATTGCATTCGAAGCCACATTATTACATAATAATGGTAAACACACCAGTGTGACCAAAATATAATAAAGCAATTATTATTATTATTCATGATTAAAAAGAATAACAAAAGTAATAGTTAGACTGTTAGATATCTGTCATATATTTTTTATCCTTGTATAATATTTTATATTATAACTAGCTGATTCCGTGCACTTCGTTGTTCGTTATAATAGCTTCAAAACCCATGGTAATCATGGCAACCAAAGGACACACACACAGACAAACAAACATTTATTCACCTAACAGGGTTGGTTGCCATGGTAATATGGACATACAGACAGACAGACAGACATTAATTTTTATAATATATTATATAGATTACTCATAGTTTCAAGACGTTTATTAACTTGAGATTAGTTATGTACTTATGTATGTCTTCTATATTAATTTAGTATTATTTTGATAGCTGCAGTTGGTATATTTTATTACGTGTTATCCTATCTCCAATGATCATAAAGTTGTAAATTGTGTAAATAATATAAATTATTTTTATAACAAATGACATTCAAATAGATGCATTTATATTTAATCTAATACACAGTAATACATTATACAGTACTATAATTATGGGTGACAACTTAGATAATAAGATAACAAAGCTGTATGTGAACAAAATAATATTTGAAACTAGAGGTTTAGATTTTACAAAAATAAATTCACCACATTTATTAATTCTAAATTCAATTTGTCTGTAATAAAATTATAAGAGTTTAATTCTTTGTTAGATCCTAAATTCTGGATTGAAAATGGAAAACGAATGTTGGAGGAAAAGTTAAAACAACCATTGCGAACGAACAAAGCGAAGAATGTGATATTGTTTTTGGGGGATGGTATGTCATTGACAACATTGACGGCCGCTCGCATATACAAAGGTCAGTTGCAGAACACGTCTGGCGAAAGCGAACACCTGAGCTTCGAACAGTTTCCGTTCACCGGAATATCAAAGGTAATAATTTGATAACAAAATAATTGTTATTAGAATACACATAGGTCCTTTACCCAATCGGTTTCATCCCCACGAATAGACGTATTGCGTTGACAATCAAGTGGCCGATTCAGCATGTTCAGCCACGGCATATTTGTGTGGAGTCAAGACAAACAAAGCTACGATTGGTGTGACGTCTAAAGTTAACCTAGGAGATTGTCCATCATCGGTCCCCGAAGAGCACCGTGTGACTTCCATAATGCAATGGGCGCAGTGGGCTGGGAAGGCGACTGGCATCGTGACCACGACCCGGGTAACACATGCATCCCCAGCTGGCAGTTACTCACAGATTGCGCACCGAGATTGGGAATCTGACGAAGATATGATAGCTTTATCAAATGGTACAACCGATATAACGCAATGCGAAGACATAGCTAAACAGCTGATAACTAGAGAACCTGGGAAAAATTTCAAGGTTTGATAATCTGTTTAAAATCCAGTAGGAAATATGGTATTTACTCTTGTCTTTTCGTAGGTTATCATGGGCGGTGGTCAAAATAATTTTATGAAGCAGGGAGTCAATTCCACGGGAAAACGTCATGACGAAGACTTAATCCAAAATTGGAAAAACGACAAGAAGACTCGTTTTGGTGATAAAATCGCCAAGTACGTGACGACTAGACAGGAACTATTGGAAACGGATATGTCTAAGACCGATTTTGTGTTAGGTAAGGGTAAATTATTGAATATATGTCAATTGGTTGCAAGTCATGATCATAACAAAAATATATTGATAAGCAATTTTATATAATTTAGCTGCAATATGTTATATATTTCAATAGGACGTGTATTAGATTGCAAACGAAACTGAATTTACGTTATTGGGGTGACCATTATATTATATAACGTGCCTTTGATATACATAAATAATATAATATATTTAATTGTTAATCGGTCATATTATATTTAATTACGTCAGTTGCGACGAGCACCGTCGCCTGATCGAAAACCAGCCACGGACGGCACTACTCTTCGGGCAGTCAGTTCTGTAGAGAGAGGCCACCACCATCCATCTCGGGTATGACAGATACTTAAGGGTGTCCACTAGAAAATTTTGCCAAACTAACAAACACACTTGTTTAAACTTACAGTACCCTCCCCCACAGTCGAAAACCATCCAATGGGCCTAAGTTGCTGCGGGTTTATTAATAATAAAAAAAAAATGTAATTATTATTTATTACACTTATCATAAATTATAACAGTTGTAATCCAGTTAAACGGTTTACTTTACAAGTATAAGATACATATATAAGAGGTGCAGAATCTGTAAAGTATCTTGGTGTCATCATTGACAGATTTTTAAAATGGAATTTACATATCGACTTAACTATTAAAAAATTAAGAAGTATGTTTAGTAAGTTTAGAACGTTAAACACTATTTTATCACCTAGCAATATGAAAATGGTTTTCTGTGCCATCGCACAGTCAGTTTATTCTTACGGAATTAGTGTGTGGGGTGGTACCTTCGATAAATACTTAAATTTGCTAAGAACTACGATAAACTCATTATTAAGGATAGCTTTTAAGAAACCATCACGTTCTAATACTGATATATTATTTAATACTCATGGCATTCGTAACCTAAAGAAATCTCATGCTAAAGAATTACTAACAAATTTATATTTCTATAACCTTGATAGCGTCAGTTTCAACCACAATTATTCTACACGTAATACAATAAACAATAATTTTAAAATAAATAAATATAATACAGAATTTGGTAAAAGAGATCCATTCAATGTAGGTATGTATTTATGCATGCAATATGATATTCCTATTAAACTTTTTAATAACTATGATCAATATAAAAAATACATTAAGTACAAGATAAAAATTTGTTTGTAAATACCTACATAGTATATATCATTTATTACATTATATTTCAACATTTTCCAGTTTTATCTATTATTTTATATTATTGAGTATTATTATATTCATTACTATTAAGTTGTTTGATAATAAGGATGAACCAATGCAATTATTCTTATTTGTATAATATTACCTCTCAAATAAGAACTGTTGTCTCCTCCACAAGCCTAGGCTTTTGGAGACAATCATTTATAATTTATCATTTGTGTAATTTAATTAAATTTTATATTTTCGGTTGTATAATATTCTTTAAATTGTATTTGTATATTTCTTTAAATGCAATAAATTATTATTATACACAATTCGCACAAAAATACAAATTTCACTATTCAGACGTTAATAATATTTATTTTTTTTTCATATAGGTAGTAAAATATGTTTGTTGTTGTTGAAATACATTAAAATTATTAATTGGTGATGAAACAATAATTGCTTAAAGCTCTATTCACACTAGCGGTCTCGGTTCGGTCCGGTCACGATCAGGTCAACATCGGTAGTACGTAATCCAACGGAATCGTACACACTATCGGTCACGGTCAAGTCACGGTCAGGTCCGATCAAATCTCGACCGGTCGATGCACGATCCAGACCGCGGCAGTCACGAGATTTCTGGTCGAGACCGCATAGTCTGAATTGAAACCACGCTAATCACGGTCATATTTGTTATTTTTATTTATATCTGTTGTAAAATTTGTGAAATGGACGACGAAATTCTAATTGAATTTGTACGTGAGAATAATGTTTTATATGACTTTTCACATAAAAAGTATTGTGATGCAACTTATAAATTCAATTTATGGAAAGAAATTGGGGAAAAACTACAACAAGGTGAGTTATTTAGATTTGATTTATTATAAATTGATATTTTAATTAATGCATAATATAATATACACTATACACCCAAAGTCTCGAAAGTATAATTACAAAATCGATTTTAGAGAGTACATGTTATAAAGTATATTATTAATAAGTTTTATATATTAGTATAAAACTTATTTAACTTATAAAACTATTTAGTATATTATTAATAAAGTTTTTACTTTCTACGCTTATAAAAAAACATCGATTTTTTGATTTTTTTAAATAGTGGTAATATAACAATTAAGTAGTAACAATAGTAACAATTTATAAAAAAAATATCAAAAACCGATTCGAATATTATTTCTTAAGTTCTTAATCATACATACATTATGTAAATACACTTTTATTTTCAAATGCATCCGTATTGCCAGGGTACTGATCCTTCATTTGAGTTAAAATAGTTCGTAAACTTTTCTCTTACATTGAATGCTGCAGTTTGGGCATTAATACCAATAGATGGTAAATCATTCAAAATGGTAGTTTGATCTAGCTCACCATGAGAATTATTTTCTATTAATGACATTCTATTATTCCGTAAATAATTATGCAAAATACAGGTTACTAGAATTATGTTTTCTATGTAACCAGGTTTGGAAGTTATTGTTCTAAAATAAATTCGAAACCGTTGGGCCAAAATGCCAAAACCATTTTCAACAACGCGTCGGCCGCGGCAATGTCTGTAATTATAAATTTTTCTTTCTACGGTTAAATCATGTCGATATTGAGGGTATGGTCTCATCATATATGTTTTGAGTGGGAAAGCCGAATCTGCGATAATAACATGTGGCGTAGAAATATGGGACCCAGGCAGTTGTTTACTTCCAGGAACATCCAAAGTACCATTGTTTAAAGCATTCCCTAGTTTTGAATTAGAGAAAATACCTCCATCGCTGTTTTTCCCATAAGACCCTATGTCCACAGCAATAAATCTATAATCAGCATCTACAAGTGCCAGTAAAACTACAGAAAATGTTCTTTTGTAGTTGAAATAGTTAGACCCACTATTCGCAGGAGCAGTTATTTGAACGTGTTTACCATCCAAGGCCCCAATGCAATTCGGGAAATTCCATAAGGACGAAAATCTATTGGCAATTTCTTCCCACTGCTTTTTGTCAGGTGTTGGAATGCATTGAGCAAATAATTGTTTAATTATTGATTTACATACATCGTGAACAATTGAATGCACTGTTGAATGGCCCATACGAAAACTAAATGCAATTGTCTGAAAAGAATCACCAGTTGCTAGGTATCTGAAAAAATTATTTTATAAAAATATTTTTTAGATTTTGAACGAGAAGTGATAAATGTATTGACTTTACAATGATGTGTGTTTTTTTGTGTCTATGTACACTATCATTAAACATAATTTTATTAAAATAATATAATATTACAAAATGTTGGTTAACTTTAAGGCTTAAGCTATACAATTACTAACTAATACCTATAAATATTAAATATAAATATATTAGGTATTTAATAAGAAAATCTAATCTGACATATTATGCTCTCCGTTTTCTGTATTGAAAGAACAACTAGACAATATTAATTTTTATTTATTTTGGTTTACATTTTTTATCAATCATTAATTGGTCGTTCTAGATGCTGCAAAATGCAAGCAACGTTGGGAATCTCTACGCTCTCAATACAGGAAGTATTTGCGCAACCAAAAGCCTAAAACGGGTGATCCCGGTGGGTCGCAACCCACTTGGAAGTATAGCGAACAAATGCTATTTCTTCATCCCTACATGAAAGATAAAGAAAGAATATCTTCCGTTGTAAGTTTAGAAGACACAATAGATGATACTGAAGAGATATTGGAATCGAACGAGCAAACACCTAATGTTGCATTTAAAAAAATAGACTCCCCAACCACAAATGAAAACCATAGAGCCTGGAAATCTCATCAGGGCACGAAAAGAAAAACATACCAAGCAGAGACGGCTAGTAGTACTCTAATGAAGCATTTAATAAATGAAGAAAAAAAACAAAAAGAAGTAGATGAGATTGATCTTTTTTTTGATACAATGAAAAGGACAGTTAAGAAATTTTGTGTTGCAGATAAGTTGTTAGTGAAACGTAAAGTCTTTAACATTGTAAGTGATATAGAAGGAAAGTATGTTGGTGAAGAACAGCCTCAGAGTCAGCAATGGTACGGACAAAAAACTCAATACAGACACCATAGTTTAACATCATTTCCACAGACCGCTGAAGAACACGTTTTCAATTTAACACCAAACACTCAACAGCAATTTGTTTCCTCACATACGACTGGGCCCCAGATCAATCCTTATTACGAAGAAACAAGCAACCAATCTACTTCCTACAGTCGACCTTCTTCTGCTGACAGTGTTCATTCTTACATTAGTAACTATAATCCAGATGTATAGAACAATGTACTCGAAATACTTGTCATTTAAAAAGATTATATCAATTTAAAATAAGTGTATTATTTATTATGATCCAAAATAAATGCTTCATTTTTCATATGTTATATTTTTTTTACATTATTATTTGTGTTCTAGATTTTGAGTCAAACGAAAAACTTATTGGTTTTACAATGACGTGTGTTTTTTCTATGTGTGTGTATGTGATTACTTTTTTGAGTAATTATCAGTGTTGAGATCAATTTATTGAGATAAATTTTCGCCTAAAATCGTTTTCCCGAAATGTATTCAATTGGTTTCATATTTAAAATAATATACCTACTATATTACGTATTTAAAAAGTATTCTAAACACTAAAATAGTATTTACTAATTACTATTTAAACACATTTACTCAAATACTTTGACTTTAATTGTGAAAATGGCTATTTGGTGTTCTAAAATCATTCATTATCCTACCCATTGCGCAAAGTATGTTCGTCTTTTTATATATTATATTTTAACTAAAATTAATTATATGTGTTATACTTTGATTACAAGAGAACATTTTACAAAACACACGAAAATATAAAAATTTAGGATTTTGCTTACCGTAAGCAGACAGATAGTTTTTCTGTGGGAGAAATAGCTTTCCGAAATTGTGTATCCACTTTTCTCAAATCAATTTCAATTTTCGACAATATATTCATGTACTCTTCATGGGACATACGGAAATATTTGTAAAATTTTACATCATCATTCACTAACTGGGGATAAAGTGTTGTATATTCTCCTTCCTCCTCGCGTGTCCGGACCAATGGGTGAACCCAAAATCGTCTACTTCGTTTACTTTGTCTCATTTCTTCTTCTTCGTCGAGAATCAATGCAATTTTCATCAAATTATACTTTGAAAATGCCATCACGACAGGATTCAATGAAACGCCAGACTGTCAGACTACGTATATACGAGTACTAGACTTACTTACTAGAGACTGTTATTTATTAAACATATTTATTATTTATTAATTAAACATAAAAATATAAATAAAATTGATTGCCTATGATCGGTAGTGAGAACTCTACATCATAATCGTTGACCGTGACTTGACCGTGACCGGACCGAACCGAGACCGCTAGTGTGAATAGAGCTTATTGTTTCAGTCATTGCAAAGCCAACGTTTTTTTTTTTATGTTGGTTTGTCACAATACTTGTTAGACTTTTTGTGTTCGACCAGAATTTTACTGTTTATTGTGTTCACCCTCCACTCGCCTTTTCCAGGTCTTTTTCATCAGGGTCACATGGACTACAGATTAAAATCAAATTTCGAGACGCAGCCCACGTTACCGGAAATGACCAGGAACGCTATACAGTTGCTCCAGAAAGAACCAAACGGTTACGTTCTTTTCGTAGAAGGTGGCCTCATCGATAAGGCACATCATAGGACGTGGGCGAGAATCGCACTCGATGAGACGTTAGAGTTTTCCAAAGCAGTGGCGGACGCTGTGGCGATGACCAGTGAAGACGACACATTAATCGTGGTGACTTCAGACCATGCGCACACCATGTCGATGGCTGGTTACCCTAAACGAAACGCGAATATTCTCGGTCTTTCGGGATCAATGGCCATGGACAACATGACTTATACAACACTAAGCTACGCCAACGGTCCAAAAACATCCTTCGTAAATGACAGCACGTCATGTCACAGAGTCAACGTGACCAACGAAGAAATTATAAGTAATTACATCGAAACTATTTAACTGCGACGCTTTATTTTTATCACGAATTCTGTAAATTGTATTGACATTATTATTATTTCGCGTTGAAAATCGTACCATAAGTGATGGACCAAAAATAACACAATGATTGTATTTCATAATGAATATAATATTAACACAACGCGATTGCTGACATATTTCTTTCAATATTCTAATTTTAGTTGTTTTTTTTCTAGAAAATGTCGACTTTTCATATCCAAGTCTAGTCGATATATCCGACGAGACTCATGGAGGAGATGATGTTATGGTATTTGCGAGGGGTCCTATGTCACATTTATTCACCGGAAACTACGAGCAAAATCAAATTCCTCTTGGTATGGCAATGGCTGCTGGCATTTCCACGAATTTCCCAACCACTGACTCTACCAGTGGTGCCATTTCACCATTTAATTTTGCTGGACAAACTATTCTTGCATCATTATTGTTGGCCGTCATTGGAATTTTACAGGCCAGCTTATAAATCTCAAAAAAAAAAAAAAGTATGATGATATCATTATAACTCATTTTTATTTGTAAGTTATAAATATTATTTACATTAAATAAATATTTAAATTATGTCATATAAGTAATGGTTATCAACTGTTTTTATTTTTGTTGGTTTAAAATTATTATTTTGTTTTAACTGTAATCTTATAATAATATAATATTATGATTTTTGCTAGAAAAAAACCAGTCAATTATATAGCTTTAAATATTAGGTACCTTAAAAATATTGAAAGAAAATTTACGAAAAACTTTCGGGTTTCAGGTAAACATGATTTCTGGTAATATCATAGTTATATATAAAATGAATTAACAGTGATTTAAAATGTCGGAGATTAGAAGAAAAAAATTTCGCAAATACATTTGTAAATTAAGAATAATCGGATTAGACTATATTATGGAAGTTAATTTAAAAAATTTAAATATTCAAGGCATATTCCTAGGTGACGATTCAAAAGTCAATTTTTGTGTTAATTCTTCTTAAGTTTACAGGTTATATATTATACTTTCTTTTTATTACAAATTATGTTTTCAGAACATATATGTTCATTGTTCATTATATATGAACCGTTTCATATCTTGTTCATTTTTCGTCAGTTTACTCTATCCTCGCTATAAGTGGTAGAATTCCACTTGTTCTTATGATTTTATGAATTTGGATTGGTTAGTATAGTGTTATTTATAATTAAGATTATATTTTTGCCTATAGTTATTTATTACTAGCCATAACCAGATTTCATTGAGGAAAAAATGAACAAAAAAAAATATATTGGTGTATCTCAGTTTTAGTGTACTTCACCGGAAAATCGGTGTCGGTGTGACTCGTTTTGTGAACTTTTTCGACTGATATGGGCAATCCACCCTTGTAGGATTATCCAATAGCACTCGATATACCTATTTTCTTTAATGTGGTTCGAGCAATATTCGGAATTTGCTTTCTGATACCTCTAAGATCAAGCAGTTTTGACTTTTGAGTCTATAAGCTTAACACATACTATGGACATTGGACATTGCCTTTTTTATGTATAGATTATAAAAAAGTGTGTTTATTTCTAGTAGCCACTAGATATTTAATAACAAATTTATTTTCTGTAACCAAAGGCAACAAAAAAATATTCGATTTTCGTGAACTAAAACGAAATTAATGTGCGCCCAATCACAATCTTATAGGGATCGAAAAACGAAAAATGGATGACTATGACAATGGATGCTCCCCAAGTCTCCCGAGAAATATATGTGCGAAATTTGGTTCTAATTGGTTTAGTATTTCACAAGTCTATAAGCCCCATACAAACATACATTAGTTTTGATATATCTATAGATAAATTTACTGTGCATAATAATTTAATAATAATAAAAATGTTTGTTACGTATTATATAATAATATATTATAAGTACGTATAAGTAGGTGATCGAATATAACAACGCTTGTTGGTTGAAGTACTGAGTTGTGTTTTATAAACGTAAACAACCACCGTCCGGAGTACTTAATTTACGCAACAGGTATTGACTTCAGCGGAAACAACTTCTTCCGACCACCGATCAATGATGAATAGTTAATTTCTAGCCGAATACCTTATGGCCCTATAGTGGTTTGTTCATTGGAATTTCCGAAAACTCCTAATGAATGTACATTCATGAATTGTAAACATGTTTAATTGGTAATCGGTTAGAATTTTAATAGCCCAATCCGTCTTAAAATTATTAGTTTTAATAATTGATATAGGCATCTATATTGATTAGTTTTAGAAACGTGTTCTAAATTTATTGATGAAAAACAAAATTGTATTGTGTAGGTACATGGTTCAATAAAATATAATGTGTCAGTAAATTGTCGGAACTTTTTAGAAATTGTGTGCTGCACCTTGTTGGCTTAAACTATTTATTACACAATGCAAATGTTAGATTTGAATAATTCATCTAGGCTAGTATCGAGACGTTTGAATTTGTTCGTAATTTAATAATCGTTAAAGACGTGTGCAGCAAACTTAGCGTAAAAAGTCTGTGCAAGTTTGTGTAGTCGTTTTGACTTTTTCTTCGCATTTTCTTTCACGACATAGACGTTCTAGTAACTGACAACTTTAACAAGTGTATCCCTTGTAACACCTACTAACTCAAACGCCCGTTAAACTATACGTAGATTGGGTTTTCCACTAGAGTTTTTTCCACGGGAATAAAAAAATCGTTCTTCGATTACACCATTCTAAGTCTTCTCCCGGTCTGGATAACTTTACTTTGATTATTAGTTTATAGATATAGCGGTCTAATAAATATTCGCACGTAAGTGGTCTCTGTACGTGACAGCGTAATTTGCATATCGCGTTGTAAACGTGTGTGAATACTTATTATTATAATATTTCCTATGCTATGCGCGCTCAGCTCTCACACAAATACGTCTTTAAACCACCCATAAACGAACATACTAAAATTTTTCGGATGACAGTTACACAGCTCTCGAAATCTGAATTGAATACTATATTTATCTCGAAGAACTCGAGTCGTTTTAAAACGGTGTAATATAGGACGTGTATTCACTCTAATATAGTAAATACAATTAGGTACATTTTTAAATCAGAGTAGGACCCCCTCCCCACACACACACATCACAACACTACTCTTCACCGTTACATTAATCACAGCAGTGTTTTACTAGGAAAAAAATTAGTTGGTCACATTATTCTGTCATAATTCAAAGTGTCAGATAAGATAACAATATTATGTTTTGAGTAAATACGTTGTTGAATAATAATAATCCTATGCAAGGACGCTGTGTATACCTTATACTTTGGTAATTTATTTATTTCTGAAATAAAAATCCTATCGTCGTCACGAAGGGTTAACTGTGCAAGTTAAAGCTACACAATTAACATAGGTAGGTACCTAACTAAAGAAACATTTACAATAAAACAATTTAATACAGTTAAATGCTTCGTAAACAATAAAAATTAGGACATTGGTATTAATATGTTCTATGATAACGTTTGTCAGTGCAATTGTCATAATTATTATCAATAAGGCCCAATATACCCAATATTTTGATGTGCAGATAAATATTATTATTTTTTATAAAAAAATGTATTTTTTTTCTGTCAAACATATTTAAATTGTAATAATACAATAGTACGAGATACAAGGTTTTTATAAGTAATTCTTATAGTGATTTAAAAATATCAAAAATACGTATGCTTATTTTTAAAATATTATTTGAAATTTTAATTTTTATGAAAAAAATTGTCAAAACCACTAGCATTTGAAAATTATCTTGTACTTAAAAATTCATAAAATTTTCAATTTGAATGCCGTAGAATATTGAAACAAAAAACAAGGTTTCACAAAATTTGTTATTCTATAGATAATTAAATACATAAAAAATGTTTTTTTATAATCATTTGAAATTTGGTTTTTCATGAAATCTATAAAATGTATTACGTTTATTTTTAATTTTAATACACATTAACATTTTCAAAATTGTTATACTTGTCTTATATTATATACATAAAATATTATAACACTATCATAAGAAATAAAGTCTGACATACACTCTCCACTCAGAAATGTTTTTCGTACCTCTACAATATTTTATCATTGAAAACAAATTTGACCCATCCATTTCAGTTATAATTTTGAAAAAAATGTTTTATTAAATAATAAATAGATTATTGCGTTCCTAAATTTTTAAAATAATAATTTATAAATATTAAGTACGTATTTAAAAATACATATTTCTATAAAAACTAGTGTTGTACATGAAAACCAAATATAAATAAAATAAATATGGTAATTAATCAGACATTCAGTTTTTGAGTGATGTGATAAAACTAATATTATACTACGAATAAGAATATCCATAATATTAAAAAGTTCACTACTTCTGGAGGATTATCTGGCTTAAACACTCACACCTATTCACTCTTGACGTTAAAAACGTGATTATCAATACCATTTAGGATTTACGTTTCCCAACCCATTGCTTTTTCAAGTGTCGATAATATATTATTGTTGTATTAACCTCGTTGGTTGTGGCTGTATCAAAGATTAAAACAAAATTAATAAAAAGATTATTAGCTTTATCCAGATTACTTTAATCAATAATGGTTCAAACTAAAATATAGTACTTGTACTTCAAAGCCTGTACGTATTTTAGTTAATAACAGTTATATGTTTTCAAAGGTATGTCATAATAAAATAGTTCATAAACAAAGAATATCTTAATGCCATGCTTCGGAGTATTTAAGTACGCCAATAAACTAGGCAGTGAAATATTGAGGCGAAAACGATTTTACCTCCATCTATTTCTTTCATGCTTACGTCTTCGGAACTGAGTGTTGAAATCTTCTAATAAAGTATAATAAGTTTGGTCACACATCCGTCAACCAATCAATCATGTGGACATTCATAGTGTGCTTTTTGGCCTGTGCGCTACAGGTGTCTGCAGCCACCACCGCTCAGGAGTCAGGTAAACTCGTAGTTATCTAATCGATTTAATATTATTTGATAACCGAACGTTAAATATGTTATAAGATAGCCGATAGGTATAGAGAATATTATACTATAACCATTTGGTATAAATTATTATAGAATTTATGTTTATGTCAAGTAGAGTATGGGGAAACTAAACATTATATTATGTATATTGTATTATTGTATAATGTTAATTTTGTTGAATGGATAATTTAACTAATTTAAATGTAATATATTTTTAGGTCCTTTACTTTAAAAAAGTAATTTTTTTACAATGTTGTCAATAAAAACATTAAATTTATAGTTTGAATAAGAAACTATTTTAGAAGCTATTTTTTTTGCTCATTAAAATCATAATATACATTTGTATATGTTTTAACATTCAGTGATATTACTGTAAAGTGTAATGCTAGTACAACACAATATTCGAAACAAGAGGACAAAAATGTTTATTGTCTTATTAAATTTAAAAAAAAAGAAGCTAAATTCATTACTTCATGTACTTTGCCTATAATAATATTATATTTGAAGACTTTTAATTTTCACTTAAAGCTCATAAGTACAACGAATTATAATATATTGAACTAAAAATGGAAAAAACGTCCAAAAATGTAAAATAAAAAAATTTCACCTTTTAAGTAGGTATCTGTTATATGAAACGAATTATATATACTATATACTTGGAATTCATTGTTCTAGGACCTAGAGCATTAAAAAAAAATAATGCACTTTTCATTGAAATCCGGGACCTATACATAATGTTGGTATCTAGGTGTATTCCTATAATTTACAAAGTTTATTTCATTTTTATTTCGTAAGTATAGATGCTTGTTTTTCGATGTTCTTGAATTTTCACGTGGTGTGCCTCATATTGTGATTTGTAATTGATTGTAATCGAGGCCACATTCTAACATAATATAGTTAACACACCGCTGTGATTAAAATATAATATTGCAATTACTATTATTATTCATGATTAAAAAGAATAACAAAAGTAATTGTATGACTCTTAGATATTTATCATACATTATTTTCTAATTTTGTGCTGCCGCAATAAACGGCCAGCAAAATTGACATAATATTCTGATTTCTGATATACCATTCGAATATTATATTATGTAGCTTGTTAAATGTAGTCATACAATATTTAACTACTAACATAATACTCATAGTTTCAAGAGGTTTAGTAACTTGAGATTAGTTATGTTAGTCTTGTATATTTATTTCATAATATTATTTTCATAGCAGTTGGGTGACATATTTGATTATAAGATAACAATAATATTTTAAAGTCGAGGTTAAAATTTTTAAAAATCAATTCACCACATTTATTAATTCTAAATGCACTTTGTCTATAATATAGTTGTAAAAATTATATTCTTTGTCAGATCCTAAATTTTGGATTGAAAATGGAAAACGAATGTTGGAGGAAAAGTCAAAACAACCATTTCGAACGAACAAAGCGAAGAATGTGATATTGTTTATGGGAGATGGTATGTCATTGACAACATTGACGGCCGCTCGCATATACAAAGGTCAGTTGCAGAACACGTCAGGCGAAAGTGAACACCTGAGCTTCGAACAGTTTCCGTTCACCGGAATATCAAAGGTAATAATTTGATAACAAAACAATTGTTATTAGAATACACTTCGTATATGTTTTTATTTTACGTTTACCAAATCGGTTTCGTCCACACGAATAGACGTATTGCGTTGACAATCAAGTGGCCGATTCAGCATGTTCAGCCACGGCATATTTGTGTGGCGTCAAGGCAAACAAAGGTACGATCGGCTTGACGTCTAAAGTTAAGAAAGGAGATTGTCCATCATCAGTCTCCGAAGAGCACCGTGTGACTTCCATAATGCAATGGGCGCAGTGGGCTGGGAAGGCGACTGGCTTCGTGACCAACACGCGGGTTACTGATGCATCCCCAACCGGTTGTTATGCACAAATCGCGCACCGGGAATGGGAATCTGACGTAGATATGATAAAGACCTCCAATGGAACAACCAATTTAACGCAATGCGAAGACATAGCTAAACAGCTGATAACCAAAGAACCAGGTAGAAATTTCAAGGTATGATTATTTGTTGAAACTTCCAACAGAAAATATGTTGTATATTTTTATCTTTTCTTAGGTTATCATGGGAGGTGGTCGCGATAAACTTATGAAGCAGGGAGTCAATTCCACGGGAATAAGATCGGACGAAGACTTAGTTATCCGCTGGAAGAACGACAAGCGAACTAGGTTCAGCGATAAAATCTCCAAGTACGTGACGACTAGAGATGAATTATCGAAAACAGATATGACTCAAACTGATTTTGTGTTAGGTAAGAATAACTTATTTATTATTTTTTATATGTAAAATCGTGAGCTTAAAACTGTTACTTCATAATATTCATCAGGTAACTTGTTGCTAAACAAAAATCTGGTTCAGTTGTTATTATTTTTGTGACCTCTATATTAATGTGCCATTATTGTCAGCCAAACCTTCAAAATAATATGAATTCATATAATATAATATGATACATATACGTTTTTATGTTTAGCTTAATTCAAACATACTAACTATTTCATAAGTGTTTAACTTTACCCTTGCAGTTTTGGTTGTTAGAAACGAATAAAAAAAAAGTCTGTGTTAATAGGTTTATGTGAGCATGTTATGATTAAGTTGCATCCAGACAGATCTAGTTAGATAGCTTTTTTAATTGTGTTGAAGGGTTATGCCAAAATATTTGTTTACATTTTTATATTTTACCAGAATTTTACTGTTTATTGTGTTCACCCACCACGTGCATTTTCCAGGTCTTTTTCATCGGGGTCACATGGACTACAGATTAAAATCAAATTTCGAGACTCAGCCCACGTTACAGGAAATGACCAGGAACGCTATACAGTTGCTCCAGAAAGAACCAAACGGTTACGTTCTTTTCGTAGAAGGTGGCCTCATCGATAAGGCACATCATGCGACGTGGGCGAGAATCGTACTTGACGAGACGTTAGAGTTTTCCAAAGCTGTGGCGAACGCTGTGGCGATGACTAGTGAAGACGACACATTGATCGTGGTGACATCAGACCACGCTCACACCATGTCGATGGCTGGTTACCCTAAACGAAACGCAAATATTCTCGGTCTTTCGGGAACAATGGCTATGGACAACATGACGTACACAACACTGAGCTACGCCATTGGCCCAAAAAAATCCTTCGTAAATGACAACACGTCATGTCACAGAGTCAACGTGACCGACGAAGATTTAAGTAAATAATATATTAAAACATATAACTACTTATACATTGTTTTATTTAAACGTCGTATATAATTGTGTCTTTTTCATCTAACCTATATTATTTCATGTTATATTATATGCTAATAATGAGTCATGGGCTAAAAATGAAAAAAATATTTTTATTTTTACTATGATTTATAGTTTAGATATGACAACGAGCAATATTCAAATTTGAGTTGTTTTTCCTAGAAAAAATTGACTATCAATATCCAAGTCTGGTTGACCAGTCCCAAGATCCACATGGTGGCGAGGATGTAATGGTATTTGCGAGGGGTCCTATGTCCTATTTATTCAGTGGAAACTACGAGCAAAATCAAATTGCTCTAGGAATTGCTATGGCAGCTGGTATTTCTACGGATCCTCCAACTAATAACTCCAATATCGGTAACGTTGTTCGATCGCAATTTGCCGGACAAACAATTCTTACTATTATCACGTTGATAAGTCTTATGAGAATTTTGCAGTACAGCTCATAGATTTAAAAAAGGATATTACAATATAGGTATAATATATAACATTATAACGTAATTTTACTTATAATATGTATTATGTATATTGTATATCTATTATATAAAAAAGTGTTGTATTATATTTACATATTTTATATAAAAAAAATATGACTAAACATAATTTTATGTTAATACCTAAGATTTTAAATATGTAATATAATAAGTTAAAGCATTTGAACATTACAGTGAAACTTCAATATCGCAAAGTATGATAGGTAACGAAAATAAAAATTTCGATAAATATAATTAAATCAATTTGGTTCTAATTTGGTTTAGTTCTGTAAACTATTTCGTTAAAGAGAAATGTTTGTTAAATGGAAGTTCGTTATATAGAATTTTCCCTGTATCATTTATTTGAAATTACTGTTGTAGGTGAGATATACTAAACTAATATTTATTAAATCGTGGTTGTCATAATAATATTGAAAAATTCTTTAAGCTCTTTTTTATATGTATTGAGAATATACTATTAAGATTTATGATTAATTTAATAATATATGAATTGTACATAATATTTAACTGACCACATTTTCCATAGCTTTAAGTAGGTTATAAATACTTTTTTGGTAACTATATGTAACAGCGTAGGTGTTCGAATATTTTCAATATATACTCACGACTTCCTACGAGCATTCGGGTTTCTAATAGAAATCCGTCTGCTCTGCACTTGGAAAAAATGTTCTTCGATTAAGCTTGTAATTTTCAGTAGGTACTCAAACAATAAAATGGCTCGTGAATCATAACATTTTAGACGTTGATATTTTCGACAATGTAATTAACAATGGTTATATTCCTTAAGTCGTTTATACACAGAATTTGCGTGACGAGTTTAGATTTTAATCGAAATTCAAACGTAAAAAAGAGTTTATTTCGTTTTTTTAACATTTTAAATAAATAGTAAATAATATAATGTTTGTTTTGAACGTACCTATATTTACATGCGCGACTAGCTTACGTGGACAATTTGCTTAGTAAGACAATGGGTATAGGATTCGATAAATATATTTTACTCACATCACGTCTGTTCAGTTTTGTTTAAAACTGTTTTTTTACATCTCTGATAGTACCTTACACATTCATTACCATTTTCTATAAGCATCTATACACGTGAAATATAACATTATAACATCATCTGGCTCGTTCAATAAGACAGTTAAACATTGATGTACCTTCATTGAATATTTATTTATTAGTACCTATATATTTATGTATTATTTCTTATTTACAAGTTGAAGTGTAAGTAAATTACATATTATAAAACATTTAAAGCAACAATATATTGTCTAAAACGAAAGGTTCGTTACAAGAATATACATTTTGAAATTAATTGACTGAAAAAATACCATCATAATAAATGCGTTGTTTGAATTTTTTGTCATGGATTTGAGAAGGATTTACAAGTCGTAAAAGTATTAAACTGTTGCTTCCGTATAATAATAGTATAATAATGTAGGTATTAGCTAGGTAGGTAATACGTTTTTCGATAAGATTTGTTAACATTCGGTATTGTATTAAGAATGCGTAATATTTGTAGTAATTCGATCTGAGCATTGCCAGACAATAATAATTATAATAACAATAATATCATCACAGTATTATCATAATAACGATATAGACCAAACACTGCTAAATGCTAATGCCACGCATTATTATTACAAACAGCGTACCTAGGTATTATGTTTTACGGTTCGTGGGCACACCGACGAAAAAGACAAAAACATTATTATTGTAATTTTTTTATTTTCATAATATTATGCAGCAGCAGCGTATATCGGAGCATTTGAATTATCGTTGATAAACGACGACTATACGGCGACTACGACGACGAACCAGGAGCCCCCCGTGCCTAGCGTGACGAGTCGTAATATATTATTATATCTGTTTGTGTCGAGTACGGTTTTCGGTAATTCGAGACCGTACATGTACATCATGAATAGCGAATAAAATAATGAATACGTATAATATTTATGATGAACCTTTGAGGGGACGGGGCGGAGGGACATTGTCACGCGATGATTTATGTAAAAACGACGGCGCCGGTGTTTTATAGGGACTTAGGGTAAAACATTTAAACGTTATTAAAAAAAAATAAAAAAAAAATAAACCTATATGATTACGGATCGCGTTCTGTCGTCGGGTTAAACGTCTCGAACGATGTTTTATTTTCGTGTAACAATAATGGTATATGCGTAAAATGTCTTCGCGACGACAATGACGATTTTTAAACGTATTATTATTATTACTATTTTAAATGTATTATTATTACTACGCACGCGTTCGTCATTTCATCACGTGTTTAATAGAAATGTGTCCTATTTGACCTTTATTTGCCCCTTTGTAGACCACCGGCGATTGTATTATAGATGTTCTAAGTAGGTAATCAAGCTAACCAGTCCTGCAATTATTACTATCGTTATGGTACCTAAATCGAAAGGTATTGTAGAGAATCTTGAAAACCGCAAACATTGTCTACGCATGCTGGTTGGAAGGGAGTGAAGCGACTTCACGGCCGTCATCACACTCGAGTTTTCAAGAGTATGAGTGGAAATCAAAACGACAAATAGTATCTTGTACACTTCATATGCGCAACATATTATTAACATTATATTGCAATTATCTCGGATTTCTGAATTTTTTATGTCTGATCGATTAGCGACGAATAGTTATACAATCTTGAAAATTATGGACACCAAAGTGGTTTTACAAAATCACGTCGGATTAAAAATATTTAAAGTATTTAACACGACTCAAACAAGGTTTTTTTGAAGCGGTTTTACTCGGGAGTCAACAACAGCGAGTGTGATAATTATATTGATATTATACAACTATTATAATATTATATATAAAGGGACAACCTTAACAGTATCCAGCAAATTGATAAGTTGCACAAATATAATGATATGAATTGTTGGGTGTAGGATTTTAAAACAAATCGTTATACCACATTTAGTAATACAATTAACATTACTTAAATTGATATTTAATAAGAAATAGTCGTGGTAAAATAAAATATTACGTCAGATCAAAGTCAGACCAAGGTCAGATTTAACATGTCTGTTCAAAAATATCTATTTAAAAATATTACTCATTAGTTTATTAAAATATTTTGTATTAGTACCTAATATTCATTACACAATAGCAATATTGACATAATATTATACTCGATAGAAATACACTACAAAGATAATACAATTAAATAGATTTTACATAAAACCGAATTGATTTATACGAGTATTTAAAGACTTCTAAAAATAATCGAAATCAAATGTATTACCTAAAATCATTAAAAGATTTGCAGGGCAGTTTAAAATGTAGTTTTTATTTTAATACATATTTTGGTTAATAGGTTTTGGGTATCTGGTAAGTATATTGACGGATTTTATTTTGAAGCGGATAAGAGAAAGGATTTCAGGATAATCAAGAACACCTAAATAATATATTATTAATATTGGTTACTATTTGTTATATATGTAAGAACCAAGAAAGCAAAAATGAATGCCTGTCATTAAGTGAAGACGAATATTAAGAAAATTAAGTAGATACCATTTTGGAACAATCCATGGATGTTCCCGATAACATTAAATTTAAATGAGTTAAAGAGTAAAAAATTATTTTGTACTGATTGGATGGCTTTGTCTTGCACAGATGTATTATTAATACAAATAAAATGGGAATTTTCTCGATTGAGGCAAACAAGAGAGCTGCAATAATGTGTTTTAAAAGCTTCTGGATCATTGTATGAACGATATGTTCTTTTAATAAGTCGTACGTTCAGCATTACTGTATTGATCATAATTTCAGTATGATTGGTGAAATTTAATTTAGAGTTAAACATTTCATTGATATCTTTAAAGTCAGATACTAGACGAAGGTTTAATCCACAGATCGAGTATGTATTTAATATTAATAGAGGTTTATTGATTAATGGGTATAGCGCACAAGTTTACATTTATTAATATTTAGTATTAGGCAGTTATTGGTGGACCATTTCTCAAAGTTATATTGATGTCACAATGAAGATTAACTGCCTCCTGATTTGTTCAAAATATAATGATCATGGGCTTTTTATCGCCAAAGAATAAAAACAGTTGAGAGTGCTGGATGACGCTAGGGAGGGAGATTATACATTGAAATATTAGATCGAAAAATGATAACCTTGTGAGACACTGAATTGGCAGATCCTTTATGTTGATATCGGTAATTAGTTGTGATAATATATAGCAATTAGCAAGAAAAGAACGAAACCACTATATTGTTATAGTATGTACCTATTACTAAATAATGTGTAATCGTCCACAAAGTATTTAAATCTTAAATCTGTTAATAAAATAGTTTACTGTGCGTTTTTATTAAGTCACACACCCCATGTGACTATGTGAGTAATATGTGGTGGAGAAAAAGTCCAATATTCCTATCATAATATATTATAGTTATTATATCGTATATTTTGAGCGTGGTTGGTCTATAATTCCGCACACGTTTCATATCGTCGCTAAATGCCAATATTTTAACTATTACAGTCAATGCATAATGTAGAACGCACTCGTTAAAAAAGGCCGTGGAAAATGTGTTACGTTGGTTATAAATTTGGAATACGGGTCAGACAAGTACAGTATTTGGTCCAGGGATGCATTGGGTTTGTCCGAATCAAAAGTGGATATTAAAGTTTAAAACTATAATCAGTTCAAAGTAATTGCGTGTTCAAATGTTCAATATGTGAACAGTGTACCTACGCGCTACTGACAAACTTGATTTTAATAATTCAATTTATGTAAGTTAGGTACTCGACAGAGTTAAGTTTCCGATTATAATCAATGACAATTCAAAGTTGACAGATAGATTTTGAAACTCCTAGAGTAGGAATTTAAAATCAAAGTTCAAATGTTATTTTTATTATTATGACTTCGGATGGCAAAATATAAGGAGACAATTCAAGATGGCTGATTTAGTTTTAAGGAAAAATGTACATCAATAAACATCAAATATTATCATTATGAAAATAAACATCAATACCTAGCGTATTTTATTACTCGTACTAAGTGAAAATAATTTATATAAGTGGAGAAGAAACATACTAGAGAACTTCAAAGTCTGTGAGTGTGTAATAATAATATTAAAACTCTGTGTGGTATAATTATATTATTATAATATGACATACAATTTTTGAGTGGTTTGTACTGCAGTGCTTATGCAGTATGCAAGAAGAATTAAAAGGAAAATGTAGAAATGTTCAAATATCAATATATGCGATACATTAAAATGTTACTTAGAGGCTATATGTCTTTACGACAAACAATGGCGACATTTGGGGTTAACCAATTTTATTATTTTGTTGTAGTTATACCTATTAAATATTAATATTATCATATTCCAGACATCGTATAGATTTAAAAATATTTAGAATATTTTAAAGCTTTTAATAGACAATTGAAATTGCAGACTGTTCAATTAAATTTTTATCCTTCTTTATATAGCTTGAAAATTAAGTAAAAAGTTCCAAATAAGTTATTATTAATAGAATTCAAAGAAAAAGTTTAGCATAGAGCCACATTAATTTTGTACAAGTGTTTGAAGTTGAAATCGATGGAAAACCATGTATAATAGATGAACTTCAATCATCTACGAAGTAGGCAATACGTGAAACTTATGTTGCTTACTAACATCAATACGTTTAAAAGTTGAAAACTTGTTATTTAATTGTATTAAATTCCATTAATTTATTTACACAGGCTACGAGATTTAATGAATTTGTGGGGTAGTTAATGGACTATTCATTTATTTACACAGTTACGGATATTATTATAATGAATTTGTGCTACATCATGCCATGTTTTTGTGGGGCATTAAGCTATGCATTTTTGGCGATGATGATATGTGTTATTGTGTACCTAGTAGGTAACGGAAAGCGCAGCTATTAAGTTATCACAATGTTGAGGCGACTTTTTAGTGTGGTGGTGGGGAGGGGGAGGACCCTCTAGTCCAGGAGTGGCATATTATTTTGACGCTACTTGTAAAAATTATCTTATTTTTTTAATTGTTCTTTTTCAAGCGTGCCATTTATAGTTATGTAAAATATTATATATTATATAATATAATATTGCGTTCAGGATGTTATCTATGTTTTAACGAATCTAAAATTTTCTGAAAGACTTCAACGATACTAAAAAAGTACTAGCATTGTGAATTGTGATGATATTTATTATTAAAAATAAAAATAATATATACATTTAATAAAAATATTTTAATTTTCATGTGCCACATAGGACACTCGTGCCATGGATTTGACATCCCTGCTTTTGTCATTGACCTCTGGATATATTTATATACCCCTTCCGCCCAACAATGTGCTAAATAATTCACTGCCGACAAATAATATGTGTGCCTATATACTATGTTATAATCATCAATATAACACTTAAAACTTGATATAACTAACCGTACATAACATACATACTACACACGTCCTATAACTGAAAGATCATAAGTCCGAACGAATACACTCAATTTCAAGTGCACGTACATATAATTAGCACTAAGACGCAAAGCGAATATTAAGATTAAACAAACAATATAGTAAAAACGACGACATGCATTTACTCATGTGATACCTACCTATGTGTTTGAATTGCAAACTGCAGGAGTTCAAGGAAAACAAATAAAAACTTACTCTTAAAAAACAATAAAAAGATAGATACGTTTATATAACTATACAGGCCTTATGTAATGGCGTTCGACAATAAATTAGTAAAGTCGATCAGCATGTGTACCGAATTCAACGGGAATATTATTTGTTGAAGATAACAAAAACACGTCGTATGGTACCATCCACTTGTGTCCGACACAATATTTTTATTTCACAACGTTTCGCAAGTTCGTTGGATACGGAGCTCTGATAAGTTCTAACCGCGATTTGATTTCGAGTATAAAACACTGGCCCGCACTCTGGTCATACACATAACCGTGTTTCTGTGTCAAACGTGTGCAATGCGACCATACGGAGTTCCGTGCACCTTTGCACTGTCGATCGCGACGGCGTTGCTTTTGGCAGCTACCACGGACGGTATCGAAATAAGTACGTATTATGTCTGATGGTAAATATTACTGCAGAAATAACATACTCGATAATTGTTGTAATGTGCTCGTATAATATTATTATCGTCAAATGTGGGCTTCAAGTTACAGAAAATAATAAACAATTAATTGTTAAGTGAACAAAAAAACGTTAAGAGTTAGAAGTTATAATATAAAATAAATACAAAATACTTAATTTAACTCCCTAAGTTTAAAGTAAATATGGAAAAAAATATCAACGATAGTAAAAAGTTAGGTACCTTAGTCAACTGTTTTAATCAGTACGAGGAACACAATATACACAGTTATTATAATAGGTATATATTTTTTTATTGAAATTTGATCATAACCATCTTCATTTATTTCGCCATGAAGTACACTATAGTGGTATAGTCAATACCCTTAAAATGTGTAGGTATCATCAGTATAATATCAAAAATCTTAATAATATTTACGCTTCTAGATGTACAAAATAACAAAAAATCATAGTTGCAGTATTATTCATATTTTTGTAATGTACAGAACGTTACTAAACGTTCCAATTGTTGTGTTATCATTAATGTTATCGTAATACGAATAATGAGTTAAAATTAATCATAATTAATTAACAATATAGCACCTAGAAATGGCAAAAATCTATGCACCCTTCAGATATTATTGAATTTATATTTTAACTTTCACGAACATTGATTTAATAGTTTCAGGGGAGTTAGCAATAATAAATTACATCGGACTAGGGGATAGTACTAGTAGGCTATGCTACGCTCTGCCCAACAATTTAATATTTAATGTATAGACTATACAGCTAGTATAGGTAATAAATGTATAGAACCATGAAAACAAAAATATCAACAACATTTTTTTTGTTGACTTGATGGATTATTTTTGAAACAACTGAAAAAAAGTTTAAGTTATTTAAATATTCAATTAAACTAGTTGAATTCAAATTTAATTAGAAAAATAACTAACTAGTTAAATAAAATGTTTTTAAAAAGTTAACATTTTCACTAGGTAGTTAAAGACAACCCACCTTGGAATTTATTATTATTATACATGATATGTGCAGTGAAACGAGACTATAGTGCACACACCTTCTCACAGTCCTATTCTTTATACGAGCCATTGCACTTTAAAAACAAAAAATTATAATAAAACCTCTCAACTTTTTATTCGCTTTTAAAAATGGAATTTATTGTGCATACGCTTCGCATGGTATTATAATCAGTGTTTGTCGATTGCAGGGCACACCGACAACAATGCTGAAAATATAGCTGCTAGAAGACGGGCGAGCAACGAAAACATAAGTCCCGACGAAAACAGTAAGTAAAATAACAGAACAGATTAAGGCTTATTGAAAATGCCTTTCATCGATTTTAAGATTTAGACGCATGTATCATAGCTTGTTTTTAGGGGAGGACGCGAAAAGGGTAGATAAATTAGAACTCGAGTTGAATTATACGCTGTTTATAAATTATTTTATAACTATAATGTACTTACAGCCATGTAGTCATGTGTGATGATCAGTGGGGAGAAACAAGGTCTTTGAGAGAGGGGGGCTTAAACTCTTAAAAACATAATTCCCAAGAACCTCGAAAAAGCTAGGGTCCACGTGTGGGAATATTATTATTTTATAACAAGCATTGGAACGATAATGATAATAATATGTTATTATTTATAAATTGGATTCTATTGTGATATATATTTTGGACCAGCAAATAGTTTTTGTATTTGTAGTTTGTCCCAACCAGTCTAGGAAATAATAACATTTAATTCAATTAAATGTATTCTTCAATTAAATTTTAAGTAGGTAGTTAATAGATTTTTGATTTTTTGCTGTTAGGTATAGAAATATTTCATTGCTTGATTGTTAATTTTTATTAACTGTCAATTATTGTATATAATATGTTCTATGTATTATACTATTATTGGAATTTATTGCTTGCTATAACAAATATTTATGAATTTACGATAGAGAGAACTAATAATTTTAAAACATCAAAGGGGGTGGTTATGCCAATTTCTTAAATCCTATTAATATGTAAGTTTAAGTTCATGATTTATGCTTCTCATAATATACTTATCATATTTTGATTAATTCGTAAAAAGCAATATGTTCCCATTTTTTTTTGTGTTTATTTCCAATGCAAAAAATTAAAAATTAAAACACTGAAATTAGGTTTGGTATAGATATTATATGTTTTTTTAAAACATATTATTTTGAATTCTAAAGCCGTTTGCAATTATCACTTAAAAATGTTCAAAGACTCGTTTATTGGTATTATAATAATATTATAATATATCTTGACATTCGAGTAAAAGGGTTGCAGGTCACGACAATTAGTATGCTCACTAATCGATATTTTTCTACTCGAGTACGTTTGTCTCGCAAATAATTTATGGAATTTGTATGGAATGCAATAACCAGCACGATTTTATTGTATTTATAATATTAATTATTGTAATATAATGTATTATATTATTAGACAAGCAGTTTTGGTACGATGCCGGAAACAATCTTCTGCGGAAGAAATTGAATTTGGAACGGCAGTATGGAGTGGCCAAGAACGTGATTTTCTTCATCGGCGATGGTATGTCAATAGCCACTTTGACCTCAGCCAGAATTTACATGGGACAGACCAAAAATAATACAGGAAGCGAAAAGGAAATGTTGTCATTTGAGAAGTTCCCGTTTACCGGTCTGTCGAAAGTGAGTTGACGCTCTATAATAATTATTGTAATTAGGCCTTAAGTCATACCCTTGTTTAATTATTTTTGATAATAAAAACAGACATTTTGATTTGGAGGACTTTTCGGTCCGAACAAATCACACTGTTCTTTTTTGCCAATTGGTCGTATCTCGTCAGGTACGAAACTAATGACGAGGGAAAATGTACAAGATTTCAAACGTGAACACAGAAATACTGACAAATTTGAAATGTATACATTATGATTTTATTCCAAAATAGATGTAGACATTCCGTTTTGATTTTCAGACATACAGTTGCGTTTAAATATGAATTCATACTACTTATTTGTTTCGATGACCTTAATTTCGATTATACCGAAACCATATTAACAGTAGTCTAGATGGTTCTTCCTAATAACCTTGGAAAATATTTAATTAAAATTGCCACCTAATTAATTGTTTCCCCCATTTGTCCGGTGCAGACCTACTGCGTGGACAGCCAGGTGGCCGACTCGGCATGCTCGGCCACTGCGTATCTGACGGGCGTAAAGGGCAACATCGAGACCATAGGCGTGTCCGGCACCGTGACCAACAGGGACTGCATGGCCAGCAACGAACCCGCGAACCAAGCGGTGTCCAGCATGCGGTGGGCTCAAAGGGCCGGTAAGAGGACGGGCGTGGTGTCCAACATGAGGGTGACTCACGCCACGCCGGCCGGCGCTTACGCCAATGTGGCACAACGTGACTGGGAATGCGACAATGACGTGTTTATTGACGAATTAGCCGACAAATCGTGCAGGACACAACCGGACATCGCCCGTCAGCTGATCGAGAGGGAAACGGGCCGAAACCTGAACGTGAGTATGTTTTTTTTCAGCGGTTCCCAGATCGGCTAGGTTACGAGTCTGAGCGCGTCTGAGTTTACCACACGGTTTTCCATAATCTTCCTATATGTTCCCTCGAAGTTGTTTAAAAAATAATTCAAATTATTTATGAATACTCCATCAAGTGAATGAAGAATTTCGAGAAACGATTTTGAAACGTGTACCTATCATCAAACACTCGAAATTATGAGAATATATATCAAACACTTATGCGTGATTCGTACCATTCAAAGATTATAAGAAGATATTATTCACGAGTGCTTAGTGGTATTAATGGAACATCTTTCATTTTCATTGATATAAATTTAATACAATCGTACTCGATGTGTAAACAATGTACACGATTTAATCCTATGGATATTTCACTTGAAAACTTCTTGTACCTACATATTAAGGAGTAGTTACCAATGTACTTATTAATATTGTTGAAACGAGTAAACCAATGTATTATGTCGTGTTTTTTGCAGGTAATAATGGGGGGTGGAAGGGCAAAGTTTTTTCCCAATACTGACAAAGATCAACAAAACCTTAAAGGACAAAGGCGTGACGGCAGAGATTTGATTAAGGAATGGTTAGAGATAGATCGTACTTCTGGGGCAAGTAGTGCTTATGTTACCGACCGATCCCAACTGAAGTCTATGAATACCAGCGAAACGGATTATCTTCTCGGTAAATATTACATAGTTATACTGTCACTTAAGTTTGTTTAATATTCCTTAATATAAGAGGCGCACATATAATCAAATGTATGACATTAAAGAAGGTGCAATAATAGTGTATTAATAAGTGTAATTAATAATAATGATAATTACTGAATACATTAATTAGAATGATGTGTTTTCTATATTCTAAATTCTAATAATATAATACTACCAATATATTTAATAATATAATTTAATATTATTGTGGTGTGAAAAAAAATGGTTTCATTTCAAAAGATTAGGACGATTAATGATTTATTGAGAGAGGTAACAATTATTGTGTTTATACAACTTACACTGTAGTTTTATGGGAAACCCAAAACGAAATGAAAAACAACTTTTAAGTGTATAAAATACATTTTTTTAAACACTTTTTCCGGTTTTTATTAAATTTTTCTTTATTGTTGCGTATACTTATACCTGTATTACCTTAGCTTCAATGGACTTAGAAATTATATTTTTTTTAACCAAAATAAATTTGAGAACTTATACTTAAAGTTAGAGTGTGGTTTCTTTAACATCTTAGTTTCAGTGTTTTAAATATAAATACATCTTTAAGCAATTTAAAATGTTGTATATTTAAGCTGCTTGAAAAAAGTTATTAAACGAATTCTCACTCAAACATTTACAACAATTTCTGAAGTTCATTTTGTGTAAAAAATACATTTTTTGACTATCGAGACGGACAGCATACGGGGTAAATGTGTAAACATGTTTTTAAGTTCAACATCGTTACACTGAACGTTAAGGAACGAATATCATTTACTTTAATGTGGTTTCCAAAACGTACAAAATTCCGATGTGTCATGACGTTAATGTAATCAAGATTATAAAATCAAATACATATACTATACAATATACATACTATTATAATTAAATTTTAGGTGGAATTCAAATTTAATTTAAATTTTACAGTACATAATAAAAAATACATAATGATAAAAATTTGAACATAATAATTACAATTTATTTTCAATATTTTATAAAAATGTTATTTAAATAATAATCGAAAGGTCTGGTATTTTGATTTGTTGCCTCAGATGAATCTATAGAATATTATAAAAATATTAAGTGGTCGATAAATAATATATATGAATGCTTATAGAACATGAATATAATACTATATACTAATTAAAAACAACATAGGTTCAAGTTTAAATGTTATATCAATTTACAATTGGTTTATAATATTAATAAAAAGTTTTACGTTTAATTACAAATATTGAATATTATTACTTGATAATCATAATACCAAACATTGAACTTCCATACTTAATTTTAACAATAAGCAGTACCTATATTTTTTTTATTATTGTTTCTGTGTAAATATAAATAAATACTTTTTTATTTATGAAAAATGGTTATGCTGGTGAACTTTTTTGACGATGATTTAACGTAAACAAACATTTAAGTTAATTAAATTAATGATGATTATGTTATTATTATAATAATATGATATCATCGTATTAATGTAATGTACAAAATAGTAATATTTAAATATTAATGAAAACTAAGCAAAAAAAAAAAAATGCATTTCTTTGCAATATTTATTAGGTATATAATATTTCTTTAATTAAATTTTATAATCTATATAATATAAGAAGACAATTATTATGTTTTGGACATCACTATAAATAACTAAACACAATGCTCATAGTAGTGGATCTAAAAATAAAAACAGGGGTGAGTTAGACACTTAATATGCATCTATGTGAGTCGTATAAACAGACAGGGTTTAGGTGAGGTGGCATGGATGCCAAGCTCCATAAAATATCAAAATACCTGATCTACAAAAGTATTTTCCCTCCTATATAAAAAAATACAAATATTTAAACTTAAAATCTAAAACATTGATTATATTCTTACCTTTTTGTTATACTAATACAGTAATATGTAGGATAGGCGTATAAATAAAAACAAAAAAAATACTTAATAGTTAAACCTAAAATTGGATAATCTAACAGTGATTATATTTATTTTGTTGCCGATTTCAACATTCATTTGTATGGTTCTCACACATTTCCTTATTAGCACCATTTATTTAAACACCATAGGTAATCTATACGGTTTTTTATATTATACTATTATGGTATAATATATTATAACACTAAATATGAAATTCCAAGCACATACATAATTAAGTCAACCAGTGTCTAATACACTATTTTAGTTTGAAATATTATAAAAAATATTTCTATTTAAAACATTGACATTTGATATTTGTTTAACACAGAATATAATTTTACTATCAAAACTTAAAAAAAAGAAAAATTTGAAATCGTGCACAGAAATAGCATTATGTATCATAGTAGCTAGACAACTACTTACGAAGAATATAAAGCCAGGGACCCCCAAAATCTAGGCATGCAAATAAATATAAATTGTGTTCTGGTAGCTTTAAAAAGTGATCAACTATAAACGTACAATGTATTGTTAGGGAGTACTGTTACTGACTATTTGTATAATACCTATGTATTCCAAAATTTTGTAAATTACCTAATAAAAATGAGAGAGAGATTCATTGAAATAGTATCTAATTGGGGCGAGAGTGTTATCCCCCATAGCCACACCCTTACACCCTCCCCATCTCTAGATGAATTCAGTTCATAAATATTAGAAAATCAAAAGTTCGGATTAGTTTTTAAATAGGTATTGTAATATTATAATCCAAGGGGATTATCCGATTAAGTTTTATAAACATTATATTTTAAGTATGTTTTTTGGAATGATTTATTATTATTGTTTGTGATTTAGTACTATTTAGTAGGTACTATTTAGTTACTATACACAGTAATAAATTATTACTAATAATATAAAGATATGATTAACAAGAAGAATATGAAAACAATTTTACTACGTGTGTCTCAAACTCGTGACTTTTAATGGCGATCACTACGTATAAAATATGTATAATATATTATTATACACGATACCGTGTTTTTTGAGTTATTATATTTTTGTTTATGATTTTCGACTTCGTTAAAAAGTGTCAGGGTTGTAATTTACGACTTGTAAATACGTGTTTCTGCATACTTATCCAAACTTTAAAACTCGCATAACGATAGTCGAATATGAGAAATAACAATTATTCGACTTTTTAAACATGACGTATTTTTATGAAATACAAAAGCACATTTAATTTTGTTTTGAGTGGTGTGGAAAATGTTTTGGGTTTTACCATGATGTACCCATTTGTTAAACCGCTGAAAAACGGTCAAATTCATGACACACCCGTTTTTCATCTATTTCATTTATACTTAAAACATGTCATTACTAGAGACATTTTGATTGTTCGTTTACTAGGGCAGGTGAGTTAATTAATGTGCCCTAGGCTTAGTCTGGGCTCTGGTTGGATTTCGTGTTTGCCTGAACGCATTCAATGTGAGTACGCGTGTTTACGTCGTGGCGGTGACAAAGTGTCATAATATTGTACGGTGTAATTTTAAGTTGAAATTTGTGGAGGTCGGGGGCTAAATGGAGCAAATGGAGTTTGAGTGTGGTTATTTTTACATTTCGTCTAATAGCTTTCTATTAATGTTGCCGTTTTGAGTTATTTCGGCGTCACGCGCTTTTCATCTGCAGCCTCTGGTGTAGTGGTTCTCTCAATTATTTTGGAAAAAGCTAAGCATTGATTGTAAAATTTACTTGTAGGCCGCATACCTTTTTTGCTTTTGTCAAAGATATTAATTTATGTAATGATATAATAATCAATTGTAATTATTCAAATAAAAATCATTTAATTTTACAAACACTTACACAAATCATAAAAAATGTATCTTCTTAACATAATGCTTATTAACGTATTGCTTAGGTAATTGTGTTTATTGACTAGCTATTTGATTTTTTTGATTCGATATAATTTTGACGTTGGTAGACACTAGACAGTAGTGATGATCAAAACAAGACCAAGACCAAGACTTTCAAAATCTTGGTCTTGGTCTTGGTCTTGGTCTTTCAGACTCAGTCTTGGTCATGGTCTTGGTCTTGTGCAAGACTCTTGCTATTTTCACAAAATATATAAAAAAAAACTAAATACCTGTCATAGCTGTGAGTAGGTTTTTTACCATTATCTCTAAGATTAAACTTAGGTCCAGCATATTATATAGTATATTATTAATTCAAACATTAACATAAAACAAGTCAAACAATTTAATTTTTATTATACTCGTTTAAAATTTTACATTTTAAATTATGGTTATATTATTTTACTTGTATTTGTATTTGATGAATCAATTTACCAGTATAATTAACTTTGTTAGTTCCAATTACATTTATAATAAATATCAATTAGTTATTACTAATTACTAATTATTGAACAATATAATGTTTATAAAAATTAAATTGTTGTTTTTTTAATGTTCACTTTAACAAATAATAATATTAAAAAAAACTGTATGGTTTGTTCCAAAATATTAAATTGCTTAATAATTATATTTGTTATAATGATAATATTAGTATTTATAATTAAACTCGGTGTTCCCCAGTGTCCAGTACAGTAGTAATAATGTTTAAGTTTCTTATTGGCAATAGACCATCATATCGTTTTTAGGAAAGTAAAATCATTTTCCAGTGATTGCTAATTAGTGTGAAATAAGTAATTATGTTATTTTGAAATATTAATTCCAATTATTTCTAATCTTTTTTTCAATAATTCACCATTTCCTCGAATACTGATCAAATTTAATAACAATAGGTACGAATAATTTCTTATTATTTTATTTATAATTTATAAGTTAATGAAATCTAGATACCTACCCTAATGTGTTTTCGGTTGAAAAAAAAAATTTGCAAGACTGCAAGAGTCTTGCAGTGATGGTCTTGTTTTGGTCTTGGTCTTGCAAGCCTAATTTTGGTCTTGAAGCAAAGAGTCTTGCGTTACCGCCAGACCAAGACCAATTTTGATCATCACTAGTAGACTCTATTTCTGGCAAAAGATATTGCATATAAATATATATATATATATATTTTTCATACAATTTATATTTAATGCAGGCCAATTTACATTTGTAAATGAGCCGCGTAGTGGGTAAACCATTGCTCTAGTGGCTTTATAATAATTGTCATTAACAACAGGTGTACACACTTCCGGTCGTCGCCGTTTCGGCCACCACTCTGACCGGACGTGCCTACTCGTTTGGACGAATCAACCCTCAAGTACGTGCGCACACACATTACACTCGTGCATTTATATATATATGTTCATGTAATATACGTATTTACACGTAGAGGATCGACGACGAAGCGGTTTATTACACGTAAAACTACTATATAGGTACACGGGGGTGATATGATGGCTTTTATACAGACCTGCTAGGGACGTGTTTATTATTTTACCGTTTCAGGCGACCGTTGCTCGCCACAGCCGCCACCACTCCGGACATACATAATAATAATAATAACGACTGAAATATAATAATAATATTATCATGACGTTTATTATTTTTGTTTGTTTACGGTCGATTTGATGTGACGGAATTAAAATAGGTATAATATATTATAATAACGGTGTATTATTAACAATAGCGGACGCGGGTCTCCAATAACCGCGGCCGTCGAGCCGGAGTGGATCGTAAAACCGGGTGGATGCAGTAGACGGGAAGTGGGGTACCACTAACACTATAATAATAATAATATATAAAGTAGTGGCTTTCGAGAGCAAGTGTGTACGACGAGGGCAAAAAACGTATAACAATAATTATTATTGTATTGTGCGATGATAATATTTAACGTCGTTCACGAATAAGCTCGTGGGTCGGGTTAACTGGGTTCGGGTGGTTCCGGTGGCGTCGACTTTCGTTGGTCGCATAATAATAATATGTATTATAGTAGGTACGAGGGGTAGCAAGGAGGGAACTTATAGTACCTACTACCTTGGCGGCGGTCCAAATCGGAAACGAGAGTTCCACCGGCGCATCTTTGGTACATAGACTTTAGAATTTTTTTGTTTGTTTACGGTCACGGGCCAGTGCGGGGCAGAGTGTTCAGAGCAAAATTCGTTTGTTTGACCTAATGAATTCGATTTTAAACCAGAACGATCACGTGTATTCAAGTCAGACGTCAATGCGAACTTGTAAAATTAATGGGTATAGCGTGTATTATAGAAACATATATAATTTAATTTTCTCGGAAATTTTGATGACACTATATGTTAATTCGATCTTTAAAAGTCATGAGCTTATTTATTTTATAATTGCCTTGTATCACGATACGCTGCACACAAAGCAAAATGTTAAAAACAATTATCCGTGATGCGTAAAAAGCATCGATAAAATAAAATGCAAATGTTTTTGCACGGAGCACGATTTAATTTATTTTATTCATAATATTTATTTAGTTTTAGAAATGTCTATTAAAAAGAAAATAATCAATAATTAATAATCTAGAGACAATTATAATGTTATTATTGTAAAACGTTTTATTGTTTGAATTTCACAGTTGATTTATTTTAATTATTATTCCTGACAAAACGAGGAATTTACCTATTTAGTATTGGCTTTTTTTTTATATATATATTTACTTTTATAAATAATTGCATGTAAGCTTATGCTTGACTTAAGCGAGTATATTATACCAATAATAAAAACCGGGGAAATCGTTCTGCTGTATCATAGATGTCATCTGTACTTGGTCATTGAGCAGTTACTGTAGTGGTTATGTTAAAGTTTAATTCGATGATAGACCATTGGATACAAAAAATAATTCTAAATGGAAATGGTTGGTCAGCATATAATTTCTAAGGATATTCTGTTATACATTTATATTGCTTTTACTAATTTATATTTGTTTTAGAAATAAGGTAGTTGAACTAGATTTTGCCAAAAACAAATTGCATATACGTTATACAGAGTGATTTACCAATCTTGGTCAACCCCTCATTTTTCTTATTTATTCAAATTTTAATTTTGAGGATTTTTAAGTTTACCTATTTTAGGACCATATTTTGAAATATTTAGATTTCTTATACCAAGCGTGTCCAACTTCTATTTATCAAACGAAAATCACTTTTTTCCCCTCTTAATTGTTAAACACATAGTTTTTTTTGATGTATTGTGAATCAAAATTAAATGAGTAGTGTACTTAGAATAATAGTGGAATGAATCTAATATCTGATATATATTAATATTTTATACTCAGATTGAATTTACAAATTATAAAATGTTAATAGATTTATATTAATAAAAAACTACAAATATCATAACCCATCGCAGCCCAACATTTTCTAAGCCTTACATCACTACTACCTAGTTTTAATTTCAATTTAAATACATCAATAATTTAACAAATAAGTCATCTGCTTGACAATTTAGGGAAAATATACCGTTTGTCTCATATGAAGAATATAAGTTTGTTTTGACTCAGGACAATACATAAATGATATAAAAAATAATATAGTATTTTATAATATGGTCCATTAAAAACTATAAATATTTAACAATACTTAAAAATTACAAAAATCATATTTTGAATAAATGCATTATTACAGAAAAACATGGGGATGAGCTTGCATGGTAATGCTCGCCTGTAATCATCTTGTATATTATTAATGGTATGATAGTCTCATTAAAATTATTTTAGACTTGTTTTTAATTTTTTAAATATGTTTATACCTATTATTCTATAATTAAATTTCACGTGTACCCAGGTCTGTTTGCATCCAGTCATATGTCCTACAACTTATTAGCCAACAAGACCCAGGAACCCACGTTGGTGGAAATGACGGAGGCAGCCATCGAGGTGTTGTCCAAAGGTGACGCCGGTTACTATCTGTTCGTCGAGGGCGGACTCATCGACTGGGCCCACCACAGTAACATGGCGCAGCTGGCTCTCGATGAGGCTGTAATGTTGTCGAAGGCAGTGGGACGGGCTGCCGAGTTAACGTCCCGGGAAGACACTCTGATCGTGGTCACGTCCGACCACTCGCATACCATGTCCATCAACGGTTACCCGCACCGTGGTAGCGACATTCTGGGACACCCAAAGATCGCCGTCACCGACAATATGCCATACTCGACGCTCAGCTACGCCAACGGTCCGTCTTACAAAGCACGGTACAATTTGAGCGACGACAAAACGGGTACGTATTATCGTGGAAAAGGGTGAGAGATTTAGGTACTTATTTTTTTTTATGGCTTATTCATATCCTTCTCTAGGGTTAGATTAACACCGCTAGTAGTGGCGCTACTTATATATACGAGACCAATGTCAACATTTCCTGACTGGGGCCCTTATTCGCTGTATCACTAATAGAAATATTATACTACAACAATCTACCTAATTGTTTTTACTATAAATTGTTCTTATAGCTAACAATTATTCATGTTGGGTATATTTTTCGTAAAAATAATTTTTTAGGGACTCAAGAATATATGTATAGCTAGGTTAAATACAAAAAAATATTCAGAAAAATATAACTTTTCACGGTGTTGTCACAAAGTAAATACTATAAATTTACTATTGTATTCATATCCAATTAAACTGTATTTAATTTCCAAACAATTTTTAATTTTTTTAATTAAAATATCAAAAGTGATAACATGTATCTAGTAAACATGTATAACTATCCCAATTCCCAACATCATCAATAAATAATATGTCACATATTGTCACCAGGCAAATAGTATCATAACTAAGTATGTTCAATAGTATTAAAAGTTAGGCTGCTATAGGCTATATTTGGATACACACTACATAGTCACAGCAACTTTGCTATCTCATTTTATCTGTAGATAATGTAGACTTTATTTTTACTGTTATTAATAAAGATAGACTTGACTCGAAGTACTACACTTTTACAGTTTTAAGTGATAAATTGGTTTTTCAGCAACTAACAATGAGTAATAATTTTTTATAGGTGCATTCAAAATAATATATAATCCAGGTATTTACAGAAGGGGGGGGGCAACACTGTGGTCACCGAGTCCATGACCACCACTTTATTACACTATAAATTATTATTAGAATTGTTCCCATTATTATAGATCTCTACTAACGGACATTTTTAATAGCGAAAGTTGTTTTATGAAAAAACTACAAACTTTCTAAAATTTGGACCCACGAAATAACGGAAAACATTTTTGGGAACAAAAATTTCCGGCGTATTTAGTTTAGAGGTCTCATTGTACCAACTACAATTTATTACTGCCAGTATTAAAATAAAAGTCAATATTGTTTGTATTGTACAGCTTTGTACTGCACAAACGTTGTTGAAGAGTATTCAAAGCCAATATTAGTTGCATATATTATTAAGTATAGGTTCCCACACAAACAAATTATTATTATTATTACACACACACACTATAGTACATAAAACAATATTATTGCTACTGCTACTACTGCAACACAAGTGTGTGTAATATAATAATAATTCGTTTGTACTTAATAATAATTATTATCACCGGAGGCTTTTGTTTCCTATCGTACAATAATAATTGTCACGGTTAGGCCAATCCTTATTGTCTCTCATATCCTACCTATAGTCATTGTGCTGTGGCATTTTGCCCTAGATCCGCTGTTTTTCTACGAATAACGTCTCGTTAAGCCAGCGTGCACGTGTACAATATATATAGACACATACTTACATGTGTATTATACATTTGTTGTTCCGGCCACCGACTTACCGAGTTATAAATTATAATATATTATTATTGTTTACCAAATAATACGAACAATATAATTTATATTTGAGTTTTTTTTCCCTCGTTACATTTCCGGTTGATGCAAGTTTATCAATTCTAATCGTATTTCGTACGTGCGTAATCCCCATGGTGTTTTGGCACCGTTGGAATTAGGTGTCCGCTACAAACGCATTTGCGCAGAGGCCCCAAAATTAGCATTTTGATTTTCGTAAGAGGTGATTTCAAGAGGACAATATTGCTTAAGCAGGGATCCTTATTCGAAAGCTTTGAAATCCGTAATGCGTCATCGGAATAATATGCGTGCCCATAATATTCCAATATGTGAAATATTTTCAAACTGACTTTTTGCTGACCTAAAAGTCACGATCCCATGATTTATTGTGTAAAGTAAAATTTACTCGGTGTAATTATGCAAAACAGTTGTTAATGTCAAATTCCTGTTCTGCACGAGAAAATTATATTGTACTTTAGGACAACCGTGTGATAACGAATTTCCGTATAATCGTTTAAACCTCTTAATTGCAGTTTAAAGAAAAATATTTTGAATTTGTTTTTAAAATTGTTTCCACGCAGATGAACCCGAATACCAATTCCCATCGATGTTAAACTTGACGTGGGAGACACACGGCGGTGACGACGTGGCGGTCTTCGCTTCAGGCCCGTGGGCCCACCTGTTCGTTGGCAACTACGAACAGAACTACATACCACACGCGATAAGCTACGCAGCCCGAATGGGGCCTGGGGCTGAAATCGAACGGAAACACGAGGCCGATTCGTCGAGCGAGAAGATTTTCGTCAGTTCATCGCTGGCTGCATTCATGACACTAGTCGCGCTTCTACTTCGGTAACAGTGATTACCAGTATAAATAAATTATGGTACAATACTGATGATCAGTGGACTTGCGACTTGACAATCCCTGCCGCAGTGGCGTATATAATTTATTGATAGATATTTTTTTTTTTTGTGGGGGGAAGAGGGGTTATTATGCAAATATGATATTTTAGTGTACTGTACAATAATTTGTTTTTCTATGGAACACGGATATTATTAATTCTTAGTTGTTAAATTAAACTTAGATGTAAATTAAATATAATATTATATATTATGCTATCAGAAAATAAAATAATATCATATTATTGTAATATTATGAGTACCGATAATATATTAATATATTATTATTGAGTTAATTTGGTTTTATAATATACAGAGTGTATCTTATGTCATTGTACGCGGGGTTTTTTGACGATTACGGAACGATGATATGGAATTTCGTTAAAACGAAAAAAGACGTGTTTCTTTATTTTTAACAAGCAATTTTTTATAACAATTTCAAAATTTTTAAACACGCAGGTGTACTAATAGCAAAATCAACTTTCATTTTTCAAATGGTAACCACTATATTTTTTAATGGACTCTGGTAAAGCTTCTTTTTCTGAACATTTTGGTAGTCGAATCGTCAATTTTGGTTCGCTAGTTTATTAACTATGGCCCTCCAAAGATTAGTAAAATATGCATTAATACTTTTAATTAAAATAATGGGTATAGGTTAAATTTACAAGCGCTAAACAATTTTTTCTTATAACTACCATTTGATACACTACAATTGTTGAATCGGTAATCTAATGACACCCTCAAAAAAAAAAAAAAAAAATAACAAACATAATTGTTTGTAAACATATATCATTATTTTTATTTTAACATACGATCATAAAAATCAATATTATTATTTTAATATCCAAAACTAAAAAGGATGGAAAGGGCTGAATTACAACTCCTAAGTTCATACTTTGGATGCGATACCATTTTAGGGAATCTATGGTTAAAATATCACGTTTATATGTAAGAAAAGTAACTGTGATGAAAAAAATGTAAAGTAATACGATTATAATAATTAATTAAAATAATAATATTGATTTTTATGATCGTATGTTAAAATAAAAATAATGAAGTATGTTTACAAACAATTATGTTTGTTATTTTTTTTTTTTTTTTTGAGGGTGTCATTAGATTACCGATTCAACAATTGTAGTGTATCAAATGGTAGTTATAAGAAAAAATTGTTTAGCGCTTGTAAATTTAACCTATACCCATTATTTTAATTAAAAGTATTAATGCATATTTTACTAATCTTTAGAGGGCCATAGTTAATAAACTAGCGAACCAAAATTGACGATTCGACTACCAAAATGTTCAGAAAAAGAAGCTTTACCAGAGTCCATTAAAAATATAGTGGTTACCATTTGAAAAAAGAAAGTTGATTTTGCTATTGGTACACCTGCGTGTTTAAAAATTTTGAAATTGTTATAAAAAAATTGCTTGTTAAAAATAAAGAAACACGTCTTTTTTCGTTTTAACGAAATTCCATATCATCGTTCCGTAATCGTCAAAAAACCCCGCGTACAATGACATAAGATACACCCTGTATATTAAATATATAATTAGTTTCTGACATAATAAATATTACATTATATACGGCGAATCCTATCTTAAAAAAATTCTAGATTTGTAATATGACTGTTATATCCGTTGTGTCAGAGTGAGTCACTAAGGCATACTGATTGGACGATGTACGTCGCACGTGCTCATGTCAACCTTAGAATAATCCAAGAATGGTTCAATCCATGTAAATATACCTAAAATATGCAGTTATGTACCTATACCTACCTGGAAAACAGTTTTGGACTCATTTATAAATTGTAATCATCAGTATAAAATATAAATTAAAAAAGCGGAAAAGTACAGGTGTTGCTCTGGTGTACCGTAGGTTACAAGTGAGTCACTGTAATGAATGGTGTTAAATTTGAATGATATAATATCATTGTATACGAAATACATTACAGAGTTTAGACGATTTGTCAGCCTAGGATACTTTATATTTATATTATTAGTACGGTAGCCGGTAAGTTGAATTAATATTAATTGCATATTATCATATTTCAATATTTGTAGGTATATAATAATATAGGTAGTTGAGAAATTTCAAGTACCTACGGATAATATGTTTAAGTTACAAGAAAATAACTGAAATCACTATTTTTGGTTATTTAATATGTAATTTTGTCCAAATTTGAACATAGAATAACTATAAAAAAACTGTGTTTTTATATTTTTTGGTTGCAGAATAACTTAATTATGAATTTCAACCTACGTTGAATTTTGTTTTAAATTTTCAAAAATTAGCTATACAAGTTCAACATTTTATACATTTTTAACATTGATAAATGTTATCAAAAAATTGAACTTTTAATGTTTATAAAAAAAATTGTGCATATTATGTTAATATTTTTTAACTGCTATTGTAACAATATACCAGGAGCCTAGCATTCGCCTTTTTGATCCAACAAATACAATTTCATTGACATTTAAGGAATAAAAACCAAAAAATTTAAACTGTCCGTAAACAGCTCAAAATGAGTCAAAATATTTTGAAAATCTTATCAAGTATAGGAATTGATAAAATAAATATATGGAGTAAATTTCAAGTATCTGCAGTTATTCGTTTTCCGCGATTTTGAAAACTATTGCACATTAAAAATTTTTACCTCTCCAATGCACCAACTAGATTCACATTCCCACCGCAGAAGATACTGCAGTTGAAAATCGAAGCATTATTTCAACTAATTATCGTGTACTCAGACACAAATAAAAATAAAAATAAAACACTCATCATTGTAAAATCAATACATTCTCGCTCCGTTCAGAATATAAAATATTATATACAAAATGATTTTGTGAAAAATGTCTGTAGGTCGAACACCCAACCATCTTTGTTTACATGCCCGATAGTATTTTGTTACCAAATACTATATTTTGTTACCAAATACTATATTTTGCTTGTTTAGTGAAATACTGTTATTATGTTAATGTATTAGTAAAGGAACGATAAATATTTTATTTGTAAATATTCGAAAGTTATTATTGTAAAATATTATTTCAAAATACATATTAGGCCTATTACAGCCTATAATAAGATCATCTGCATGATATGATGCCAACGCCTGACTATTATGTATGCGTTATTTTAAATTAATTTATCAGGTATCTCTAGATTCTAAAATGTTGATTAATACTCAAACTGACACTCTGAATCAGGAAATAATTTTTAGTAAACAATAGGAACTCACAAATTAAAAACGCAAGCTATAATGTCATAGTTAGACGAAAGTTGGCTTTTAAATACTCGAGAACCACAATCCTTAAAGTGTGTTAAATATAAGATGTACCAAAACTTACAAAACAAAAAAAAAAAATTGGAAAGGAAACACTGCAAAGTGCTAAATATATTTTTAACGGAATTCGGAGTACTTTAAATGTTAAAACTTTAATAATCGTTTGAATACTTCATGGAAATTAATTATTGGTCTTAAAAATAAAAAAAATACTTAAGTTTATAATTTAAGTATAGTGGCTCTCAAAAAAAATAGATAGTAGTTATAAAAATAATGTTACGTAAAACCAACAAAATACGAAGAAAGTTATTAAGTGGGTTAATAGCACTGTGACATGTCTATTGCGTAATATGATATGGCTCGAGGGGAGTCTCGATAAGATGTCTTACAATATGTAGGTATTAAATTATCTTCTCATTAAAATCAAAACATTATTAGTGGTGACTGATACTTAAGACTTAAGTATTAATGTATTATAATATACGTCATTATCGAAACGTTTTTTTTTTTCAACGATAATAAAACATTTTGATTTGTAAGCTATTATAATATACTCGTCAAATAAAATATAAAAACATTTCCACACACATAAACAATAAGTGCATACAAAGTTGCTACATTATATTGCAGTGTACCTAATACCTATTATACACGTGCTCGTTTATTTGGACTTTGGACGCCATAGAGGTTTAATGTGTATAATCTACGTTTATGCGAACGAGCGTTTAGACTACCTAACGGACGTGTTTATATACTATTATGTTTAAGTTTATTTTTCATAGTTTAATTAAAACCGACGAAGACAAAAACCATTTTGGTCGTAATAATACAATATATAATATTATTTTGAATCACTGCAACGATGGAAAACTTTAAATGTACTCGCTATGCTGATCGCTGTCGTGTAATAATTATGGTAAACGAATCGCATGCGAACGCGAAAATAAAACTGTAGTTAAGCCTGTTATTGGTCCTAATCCGGTACAATTACGATCACGGAATTAACGATAGCGAATATTGTAAAGAACAATAATTATAAATGTTGTTTGGTCGCGTGTGAACGTCATTCCACTAAAAATGTTCACATTATTAACCTTGTTATTAACCCCGTGGCAATAATGAACTTCATCGCGGGGGAGTAAAAAAACAAAACACTTTATTATCCTGGGACTTGGGCGATGTGTGTACCTACGCGAGACATGTGGTGTATGTTTTTAAATACCCGACCTACTGCTGCAGTGGGCGACGAAGACCGTTTCGTTTGAAAAGGAAAGCTGCGAAAAAATGTCAACACGAAAACGAGTTTAATTTATCGAAACAGAAAAAAAGGTACTATATATACACATTACACACACACACACACCGCGACCATACGTCCCATAGGAAATTCGTGAGTTCTCTGCCACGCGAGAGAAAAAATAACTTCGTGACCGACTGCAAACACGTCTTGTACGGGGTGGAAAAAAATAATAATAACAAAACGCCGAGGCGGTATTTTCCGGGCAAACAAATTGCGTAAGTATTAAAAACGAAAAAAAACCCAAACTCAAAAGGCGGTATATAGTGTTTTGTTATAATTGACGTTTTTCGTTTGGGCCGCACAAAGTTCTCTCTCGAATGCGGTTTAATTTGGACCTTTCGTCGCCACCTCGCCCCCGACCCGATTCGTGGGTTCCGT